ACAGTATCTGCTTGCTAGTGCTTCATTTTGCCTTAATTGTTCTCCCAGAAACAGCCCTTTTTTCCCCCAGCCCAGCCTCTCATCATTCTTGTTAAGAGCCACTCTCCTCAAGATGGGCTTCTTGATGTCCACGGGGCCTGAACACCCCTCGGCCTCTTGAAGCTCTGGGGTAGGAACCACGCTCCTGAACTCTGGACCTGTCCCATCTTCCACAATCCCAGGGCCTATGGTGGCCCTGCCAGTTGGGGGCAGCTTTGTGGTCACTGTGGTTGAACATCAGGTTCTCCTTTTTCCTGCCCTGGGCCTCAGTCCCCTCCTCTGTGCTCCATTTCTCCACATTATGGTGCTCCCCTTTCAAGTCCACAGTTTCTGTTGCTAGTGAGGGGTCTTCATGGCACAACTCCTTTCTTTCAGCCAAGGGAGCAGCCCTGCTTCTACTATGAGGCTTTGAAAACTCCTGGCTGTGCCGTCCAGCAGGTCTACGCTCTGGTCTCTGGCTGAAGACCCTGGGCCCCCTGGAGCCATGGAATTGATGACAGGCTTCCTCCCCTGGTTCCTGCGAGCCACTGCACAGCTGCCTGCCCCGGCCTCTGGAGCCTGGCCTCTCCCCTCTGTGCCTCTCCCTCTTGCTCAGTTGTTCTCTGGGCACAGCAGACCTCTCAGGCCGCCCGGGTTCCACTCTGGCCTCTGATGCCCCAGCTGGCTCAGGAGCTGAGGCCTGGTTGGGCGGCTGGGGCACATCCGCAGCACGGGCACTCACCGACAGCTCAGAGGTAGTGGCTGCTTGGCCTGGATCCACAGCAGCTGGAGGCTGAAAGAAAGAAGCCACTGGTTAAGAAAAGGACAGGGGTGTCCCATAGCAGATGACAGTGCTTGATCCTGCAGCCCAGAGCCCTCAGCAGCTCTCTGCCCCCAGTGCCGTACCGCCTGGAGGCTGATGAAATACCGGTTCCTCTCTGCCTCAGGGTCGATGATTCCCCCTTTCTCTTGCTGTCTCTTGAAAATCAGGCGCAGTTCTTCCTGGTGCTGCAGCACCTTGGCATCTGGCCTGTAAGGCTCCTGAGCAGAAGAAAGCAAGGCAGGGTAAGGGCTCTCCCAACACCTAGCATGGATAGGCAGTGGCAGGGCTGGGAGCTACTCCCCAAATCCTTTTTTGCACAGTGCCAGGCAACCTGCTTCCTTCTGCCACATTGACCAGGCCTACAGATGCATGTGAAATCCCTGGGCAGAAGCCAAGCATCCCTGTGCAGACCCACTGCTTCTGCAGTGACTGCCTTGGGACATCTTGTGAGACAGGATGCAGAGAAGCTACCATCAAGTCACTCTCCTGACCTGATTGTATCCCAGTAAGTGCAGGGATGTTCCCCATGGCAGAATCACCTCTCTCTCAGCACATCTGCTCAACTCAGGGCTATACAACTGAACCTGCTCACTGTGAACTGCCCTTTGGATGGGGCATCTAGAAGGATCTGAGAGAGTGTGTGTGCATTCATCCCTTACAGTGTCCCAGCTGAAGCTACCCAGTGAGAAGGCACAACTGGGCAGGTGAGCCCCCATCTCTTACCAGAGGGTGCTGCGGGGGTGGTGCTGCCTTCAGAGCACAGAGGTCGTAGACCAAGGTCTCCCGGCAGACAGGGCACTGCACACCAACTTCCTGTGGGGAGGCAAGAGATGATTTGCAAACCCTGCCTGTGACCCAGCTCACGCACTGCCCCATAACACCACCCTGGAAGCAGAACAGGGTGGTCTTCTTCACTCTTCTGCCAAGGTAAGGAAGCCTAGAGGTGTTCCAGCAGCATGAAAGCAGCCTGGCACCTCAACAGCTGCTATGGAAGATGTCTCCACATGAGGCATGCTGGAATTTGTGCTCCAGCAGCTGACTGCTTTACAAAGCACCCCTGTCAACACATATGGCTTCAGCCCTCAGCGTAAGATCTATTTTTTTCTGCTCCAAAGTGGAGTGTGTCATCTAGGCAGCACCTCTTTGGAAGAGCTTGTAAGAAGGAGCCTTTGATTTGTTCCATGCTCAGCTGTGCTGTTTGCTCTGCAGCTGACAACTGTTCCAACACGTGCTAGGCAGGTTTTATCACCCCAAAACACACGTTATTGTGTTTACCTGCTGCAACTGCCCACAGTTCAAGGACTAGGACTAGGGAAGGAGCTCTCTTTTCTAACTTCTATGGTTCCAGAAGTCTAAAAATGCAACTCCCTTACCCCCTCACAGAGCAAGCACTGTCCCAGAGATCCAATAAACCAACTTGTTTGGTCAGGAAGGGCCCTTGGAGGTAGCTTAGTCTCATCTCTGCTGATGCTCACTGCAGGCTCCATGTCCCAGAGAGGGTGATACAAATGTTACAAGGGTCTGTGCAGGGGGCCAAGGAAGGAGGCCCAATACCTGTTTGGGGGATGATGCAAGGTGCTGCTCTCTCTCCTCCTGCTGCATGAGGATCTCCTCCTCCATGTGCTGGGCATAGCGGGCCAGACAGTGGGAGTGGAAGTAGTGGTAGCACTGGGTCTTTGTGAAGGCTTCTTTCTCCTGTCAAGAGAAAAGGTTATCTTTGAAGGATTTCTAAGCAAAGAGTTGTGTAGCCAACCAGCTGAGCTCGGTTTTCACTTCCGTATCAGTGGTATCCATAGAGAACTAATGCAAGTGCTGGCAGAGCCACCCAGCATGTTTTGTTGGGCTGCATCTCTACTACTTCAGCAACTACTGGCATGCTGCTTCTTGTTTCAAATGTTAGAAACACTCCTAATGTCAAGATGCAAAGATTTTATGACTAATTTATCCGCATTTGTTTCTGTGTAAACAACAATCTTCCCACCTGATATATTCTCCTTCCTAGGCAGGTGTTGACTTTCCTTGCAACCCTGGTAAGGCCTGCTACCCTGTCCCAACAGGCCTCGTGGATATGTTCTAGTCCCTCCTGACCACCTGTGTGCTGAACTTCAGGTGAGGTGTAGCCAACAGTGGGAAGCTGAAATGTACCACTAACTAGCCCCAGGGCCTATGCTTCTTTGGAGATGCTCATTTTCTGTAGAAGATTATCTAGAGGTTGATGGGAAGAGCAGAAAAGGAAAGGCCTTGTGCAGAATGGGAGGCAGAGGGCTGCTGGGGTGCATCTTGGTCCTAGGCTGATATCCCAGTGTCAGACTTGCCTCACCTTTTCTCTTGCCTCACTTCGCAGTCAGTTTGTGGAGTGAAGAGACACAAGCCTACCTGGAATCCATAGAGGCAGATTACACACTGTCCTTGAGGAATATTGTTGTCAGTGAGGATCTCCTTTCCCTTCTGTGAAAGCATTAAAGCAAACGTTTTACTCACTGGCCTGTCCATGGGCTCAGGGATGTCCTACCCCTTGGGCATTTAGGGCTCAGCGTCTGTGGCTTGCCACACCCAATCTCCTCACTCTCACCTCGATCAGTTCATAGAGCACCTCTGTCCCCAGCCTGGCTTCAGCAACACTTCTGAGGGTCTGGGAAATCCTACAGCAAAGCAGCAGAAATATTTAATGCAAATTTAGCTATACCTTTTCACTGTCCCACATACCTGCCATGATAAGAAGAAGAAAGAGAACACTGGTGTTCAGGCTTTGGTTGGAGCACAGAATAGGCACACATGCACACACACATTCATGTGCTGTCTAGGCTCCCCACAAGCCAGTGCACAGGAAGCCTTTGTCATGACAGGTCTTGCAGGAGCAGGTTTGATGATGGCCTCAGCTTGAGCTCACACAGCACCCTTTGGTTTTGGCGAATCCCAGGCTTTTTTTATCTGACGGCAGCCCCTGAGCAGGTCTCCTGGGAAGCACATCCTCTCATACTGCTGGCAGGCACCAAGGTCTCTACACACATTCCACTGCACCAAGGACCAAAGCAACAACAGGCTGCCGAAGGACTTGGATCAGTCCCAACTCTGTCAGGACAGGACCAGCAACTTTCAAGGCCCCGGGGATCCAAATAACATTTCAGGGGGACCACAGGGGAACAACCACAAGGTGGACCCCTCTGTGTCAAATTCGGCACCAGTGGCTCCTGAGAGATTTAGGACAAAGTGATTTAGGGACCTGTATCCATCTGTTAACCAGACACGAGAAGCCACGTGAATTAGAGAAGGCTTGTCCATCAGTTCTGCCTCTCGATCTCTGGAGGAAAGGATTTCCACTCCCCACCCTCCTGGCACTCACTTTTGAATTTGCTCATCTGACAGCCCCCGTGGATTCCTGATGGAGATCTCTGGAGCTTTATCAGGATACTGGAATAAAAGAGAAACACCCAAAGCACAACAAGGAAGGTGGAGAAGTCCGAGGCCAGGAGGTGTAGGGGCACGGGGTACGCGGGCAGCCTACCTGAGGGGGCACGGAGAGCACCAGGGTGAAGCGGACGTACTGGGAGTCCTGGTCCTGGGCCGTGGCAGGGTGCAGGGTGATGCTGATCTCCCAGGGCTCCCACCTGGAGAAGGGGCATGTCGGGGTGAGGAGAGCGGCGCGGGGCCGGGCCGGGCCGGGGATGGGGAACGCAGGACGTACCTGCCCAGGCCCCGCGTCACCTGCAGCTCCTCCAGGTAGATGGACTCCAGCACCTCCACCTCCGGCGGCAGCGCCCTGCGGGAACCGACCACACGGGGGTCAGACGGCCCCGGCGGGCTGGGGGTGCGGGGACTGGGAAGGGCTCGGGCACGTGGGAGGGTGCAGAGAGCGGGGAAGGTACAGGGGCTGTTACCAGTCCGTCGCCTCCGCTTCCTCAGCGGCCGCCGCCATCTCCCCGCTCGCCCCGGAAGCGGAAGCGGGGAGCCCCGTTTCCAGGAGACGCCTCGGCGGCGGGGCCGAGGCGGGAGCGGAGCGGGGAGAGGTTCATCCCGCAGCGGGGTTGCTGCTGCCAGGGTTCGGGGCTCGTCCTGCCTTGGAGCCGCTGGGCAGGAACAAAGCTTGGGGCGGGGGTGGAGGGGACACTCGCCCCGGGTAGTGGGCGCCGGGTAGCGGGCGCAGGGGAGCTGCCCGCGGAAGGGAAAACGCTGTTCCTCACTGGCTTCTTCGCCTCGGCAGTTCAGCGGCCCCGTCCCGAACGATGGAGAACTACCACGTCCTGGAAATGATCGGCGAAGGGTCCTTTGGGCGCGTGTACAAGGGGCGGAGGAAGCACAGCGCCCAGGTGAGGGGAGAGGGCTGGGGCTCGGCTGTGTGTGGCCGGGGCTGGTTTCTGGTGCCTCTTGAGTTCTGAGGCTCTGCCAGGATTTTGGGACTTGGCATACATTCGGCTTTCTGATGACGTTCCTGACCAGCTCCGGCTGGCACTAAGTCATCTGGATTCAAGGCACATCAGGAGCGACCTCAGGACCTCAAAGCAGAGCCAGCACTAAATTTAGATCCTCTGAAGCTCCCAAGACAAACATCCCACAGCTGGTGCCTGGATATTACTAGGATGAATGTGTTTTCCTCTTATCAAGTTGAACCTTCCTCTGTTTCAATTTATAATCCCCATGTTGTCCTCTCACGTGCTTCAGTCCCCTCACCATCATGGGGTCTCTCTTCTATACCCATTCCAGCTTATTTATGGCTTTTTGGGCCAAAAACCTGGCCACAATATTCCCAACATGATGCACAAGATTGGAAAAAAAGGTTAGTAATCACTTTGCTGCAGTTCCTGCCTGTTGATACAGCCCAGGGTGTTGCTAGTTATCCTCATTTCCAGGGCATACTGCTGGCTCGTGTTAGACCTGCTGTTCACCAGCATCTCGAGGTCCTGTCTGATGTTGCTGAAGTCCTGGTTTTATCTGTGTTCACTGATTACATTTCTTTGCTTTAAATGCCAGTGTGAAAAGAAGAATGAGCACCAGTATTGATGAGCAAGGGCCTGGGGAGAGCCCTACGTCCAAGGGGCCTAGTGAACAAACGTCTCATTGTTCTATGTCTGTATTCAGCTGAAAAGTACTGAGTCCTGTTTGGGTTAAAAGCAGCCTTTGCCAGGGTGAGTCTGACCAGTAGCCTGGTGTGATACCAGATTTTCCTGCTTTGAAAGGTGGTGGCCTTGAAGTTCATTCCCAAGGTGGGACGGTCTGAGAAGGAGCTGAAGAACCTGCAGCGGGAAATTGAGATTGTGAGAGACCTCCATCACCCCAACATCATCCAGATGCTTGACAGCTTTGAGACTGCTAAGGAGGTGAAGGGAACTACTCCAGGCAAAGGTTTTTGCTTGACTTGGGCAAGGGAACAAGGGCTGTCCCCTGCTGCTGTAGGGACATCTTTCTCAGGAGATGCCAGTGACTTAATCCCAGGGTCTACTTAGTGTTTTTCAGAGCACTTTAGTATGTGCCATGTGGGGAGGTAACACCTGTGTGGGCTGCACTGGGTCATATACAGGGGTGAAGGAGCTGACCAGGGGCTGTGTTATGTAGGAGGAGTGGTTTGAGATCAAGGATGACTCTTCACTCATCAGTCTCTTCAGAGACTGGCTTTTCACTGATTTAAATTCTTATGGATTGAATATGGTAAGAGAGGATTGAAGACTGTTCTATGGCACACAGGAACATGAAATAAAGTCATTGGACAGCAGATTCAAAACAAGCTCAAGGCAGTGATTCTATCCACTGGGCTTGGAACTACCAAGTACTGGGCTTGTCCTGTCCTTCCCTCTTCCCTTGTTTCTGCTGGCTGTCTGAGATATGGACAGCTACAAGACCTCTGCCAAGTGCCAGGTCCTTGCTGCAGTGCAGCCATGGGAACTCTCTTCCCTTCCAAGTCTCAGCCTGAGCTGATGGACTTTGCATGATGACACCCCAACACCTCCCTCAGATTTCTTACTCTGCTCTATCCTGGTCCCCAGGGCCTGATCTCACCATGCTGCTCTTCCCTCCAGGTGGTGGTAGTGACTGACTACGCAGAGGGAGAGCTCTTCCAGATCCTGGAGGATGATGGGAGTTTGCCTGAGGACCAGGTGTCTATCATGGCAGTGGCCATTCAGTGTTTGCTGCAGAATGGAGAAAACAGGACTTGTGTGCCTGCGGGCAGAGGGTCTCTTTCCGCTGTGAGCCAGGAGATGACAGGAGGATGAGGGTGCCTCTGGGGCTTTACTTGGCTGAGCTTCTGAAAAGGCTGGAGAGGGGGGCTAGGTTGGCATTATGGGACAGTGGGGTCCTGCAGAGACCTCAGTTTCTCTGTTTCCTTTACAAGGACTACAGCCCCAGACTGCTTCCTTGGCTATTGGCCCACTCCAAGAAACTGCTGGCCGACAGCTGGGGTTGGTCCTTGCCCCAAACAGGACAAAAGCAGAAGTAGTGTGGGAGCCAGGCCATAAGGGACCTGGCCCCCATGGTTGTGCTAGCGGGTGGCACCATGTGACACAGGGTGAGGCTTCTGTGTCTCCTGCAGGTCCAGACCATAGCTGCCCAACTCATCTCTGCTCTCTACTATCTGCACTCCCACCGCATCCTGCACCGTGACATGAAACCCCAGAACATCCTGCTGGGCAAAGATGGTGTTGTCAAGCTCTGTGACTTCGGGTGAGTGCTGGGGGCCAGCTTGGAGCAACCAATTGGTCTCCTGAATGCTGTAGAGGAGAAGAGGGGGAGTGCGGAAGGGGGCCTGGATTCTGTGCATATTTAGAGGTTAAGCAGAGAGGGGAGATTTTGTCCTCCAGAGGGAAGAAGTGTTGGTAAACTCATAGGGAACTTCCTGGGAGCTGCAACAGATGTTTCAATGTGAACTTGTGATCTGTGCTTTGCTCTGAGCAGGTTTGCTCGTGCCATGAGCATCCACACCATGGTGCTGACGTCCATCAAGGGCACCCCGCTGTACATGTCCCCTGAGCTGGTGGAAGAACGGCCATATGACCATACAGCAGACCTGTGGTCTGTGGGCTGCATCTTGTACGAGTTGTTTGTGGGCACTCCACCCTTCTATACCAACAGCATCTTCCAGCTTGTCAGCCTTATCATCAAGGACCCTGTGAAATGGCCCATGAACATGAGCCCAGTGTTCAAGGTAAGGGCTGAGGCCCTGTCTGCAGGATGAGATCTGTTAATGCAGTTTTGGCCTCGCCTGCTCCCCTGGTGGGTCACTCTTAGCTTTTATGTCCCCTAACAGGGACTTCAAAACAAAGAAAAGCAATGAGAGTTGGACCTCCTGGAAGGGGAATCCTTATCACTGGTACCAAATGTCTGCTGTCCATAAGCTGGGAAACTGGGTCCAACAGCAGAGGAGTGATTTATTGGGTTGCGAAGGGAAATGTCTCCCCATCTGCCCTAAGCACTAGAGCTACTCATTTCCCAGAGCTAGGCAGGAAAGGCAGGCCTCCTGGGGCAGGTCTCAGTGGGGGAGACTGGTGGGTACACTATGCTCACTGGTGGGTGCTGAATATGTGTCAGTGATCCTGCTGCTCTGCTGCTCTGCAGAACTTCCTTCAGGGATTACTAATGAAGGACCCCCAACAGCGCCTGTCATGGCCAGAGCTACTTTCTCACCCCTTCATTGCTGGACGGGTTACTAGTGAGTCATTACTTCTTTTCCAAAACTGTCCAGGTCTGTTTCCTTCTACTACTGTCTGGAGATTGGGAGGATCTCCCTGCCCTGCTGTTTTTACTGTCCTGGTTTATGCTTCTCTCCTCTCAGCTTTTTCCAAGCACTGACTCCTAGCTCCTGTTCCTCGTCTTGCTCTGAGTCCCTTAGGATTCCCCTGGGATCTCAAGAGAGATCACTCTCTCTGTGTGCCAAGGGAGAACTGCTGCTGAAGTTCTCTTGCTTCCTCAGTGATTGATGACACAGAAGAGCATGGGATTTCAAACCCCTTCACCACTAAGCTGTCGCCAGAGCTGCAGGCCCTGAAGGATCAGCAAGTCCATTCTGCAGCCCCCAGGAGCAGCCAGTCCAAGATCCTGAGAAAGGCCCAGCAGCAGATGGCTGAAAAGACACAGAAAAAGGTGGAGAAAAGTGTGGGGTTCCCCCGGTTATGTCTCACAGTCAAGGCAAAGGAAGGGCACTGAAGTGGGTCCTGGGGAAAAAACACATGATACATGGGTCAGGCTGGGGTGTCAGCAGCACACAAGGCAGGATGTGGGGTGCTCACGGTGGTGGAGTCTAGGGGACTCATCTGACTGAGTAGCCCTGCCCTGACCAAACTTCTCTGCTATCACCAGGGCCAAACGAAGGCAGGTGATCCATCTATGAAGGATTCTGTCAATGGACATCCTACACACAAACCCAGAGCAGCATCACGGAAGGCAGCCCCTGAGGAGAGGGAGCCATTGGCTGCCTCCAATGAGAAGAATCCGTGTCTCCTGCAAGGAAAGAGCTGCACAGCAGAGTGGGAGTTTGAGGAGTCTCCTCACCCAGGGTGAGGGAGGCAGAGGCTGGGGCAGAAGGAAGAAGGAAATGAAAGTCTTTCACTGATTGTACTGTTTCCTTGGCCAGGCAACACAGCCTCTCTCGAGACTATGAGCGGGAGTTTTCTGGAGCAGGTTCCCCTCCACAGGCTGGTGCTGGCAGGGCAGATCCCTGGAGCAGGCACAGCATTGAGGCCGTGGACTTGGAGAGTGAGGTAAGATGGTGTCTTGAGTGAGGACACAAGGGCCCAGTTGCCAGGGGCTGGTACAGAGACCCTGGGACTGGCAGGGTCTGTGGCACCAGCCCTCTCTCCTCCGTGGCTAGGAGCTGGAGAGTGATGAGGAATGGCAGCACCTGATTGAGGACACTGAGCCCTCGGCCATGCAGCTAAGTGTGACTCTGAGCCTCCTGAGGGACCCGGCCTTCCAGCACCGTGTCCAGGACCGCCTGGCAGACTCTGCTCAGCAGGTAAGTGATGGCTGGCCCGGGTAACTAAGACTGGAGACTTGGATGCTGCTTTCTTCATCAGGACTAGGTTGGACACATATGGAGAGTCCTCAGTCCAGCCAGGAAAAAGATCCTTTGCTTCTCAGCCAAGTGCACAAGCTCTCTTGTGCACTTGGCTTACCATCAGCTCTGCTGCTGTCCCCTGCCTGAATGGGTTAAAGGGCTGCTCCATGGCTGGTGGAGACACTAAAACTACTGTTCATTATAAGCTCTTCTGGCTTCTCTGTGTCCAGGTGCTGGAGGGTATGCTGGAGGGAGCCTCCCATCTTCGTTCTGTGCTTCATGTTATGGGCAACCTCCTGTCCACTCGGTGTGATGCTGAGCTGCTGAACCACTTCTGCCAAGAGCTGAATGTGCCTCTGTCCCTTTTGTGTCTAGCCAAGCAGATCCTGGAAAGTGGTGTCACCAAGCAGGTGGGTATAAAAGCCCAGAGAAATATGGGTGCCTTCTAGCCCTGGAGAGTGCTCGTGCTGAGGAGGCCCTGGTGTCCTGCTGGATCTGTCTCACAGGTTCCTCTTCTAGGCACCCTTGAGAAGGGGGAGGTTCTGGTAGGGAAGGATCCTGTCGTAGAGGTGTGGGGATGGCCAGCAGACAATACCCATTTGTGGTTTCTTTCTGGATTCTGCAGCAGCCCTGGTGTATTGCTGTGCTGACAGACCTCCTCATGGTGACCAAAGTTTATTTCAGCAGTGAATGCAGTCTGGAGGAGAGTGGGCAAAAGGACAGGTAGGGACAAACTCCTGTTCCCTGAGGTCTCTCCACCTACTTGGGGGACACAGCAGTAGATGGAAGGCTGGTGTTCATACTCTGCAGCTGAAGTTGTCTCTGTGGGGAGCATCATAGTCTAAGCACTTTATGCCATATTGCTGTGCTCACAGAGGAGCACTTTCCTTGAATGGGAGTAATTAAAGGAAAGGCACAATTGACAAGTCAAGTTGTGCTGCCTGCTGACAGCAGCTCACAGTGTGAATGTGTGCTGCCTGGTCCATTAGCGAGGGCCATGTGGGCCTGTCCTCACAGCAAGGGGCCATGTTTCTCATTTGCCCCTGCTGCCCCCGCAGCCTGCAGGAGAGTTCTGACTGCTTCCTGACCCTGCTGCCGGAGCTGCTGGCTGTGCCAGTCGACAGTGAGATGAGACTCTGCCAGCAAAGCCTCCTGGTAAGGATGCCCCCATCTCCCTCCTCCCTTTGTCCCGAGGGACAGAAACTATGGGGTTGTTTGTGTATGTTGGGGGAACACAGCCTGAGGACTATGGGGTCTGATGTGTTGTTGTCAGGGCAGGCTATCTCACCCACTGGGATTTTTGTGGGGAATTGCATACAGAAAGAAAGTCTCTGAGGGGGCACCTTTGCTGGCCTTACCATTCTGGTATGGCTTCACTAGCTGAGCCGGTGGCAGGTGCAGCCCCTTGTACATACCCTGGCACAAAAAGTGTCACTTCACCAGACATGCCCCTGGCTCTTCTGCCAAAAGTTCTGTTGCTGGGATTGTGCTGGGTGGGCACAGCAAGTTCTCAGCATTGGTGTATGATTCACATGTGGCTCCGGCAGGAGATGTGTACAGGCTTGCATTTGGTATCTTTTAGCCTTTGTTTTCAAGCTGCATGTTTTAGCACCAGAGTCAGCAAGAGTGAAAATAGCTGTTGGGCATGCTGTGTCAGGCTGTGATAGAGGTGAGGCAGGAGATGTGCCTCCATGGGTACCCCTCACTTCAGCAGCGTGCAGCTAGATGTGGGTCCCATATAGTAAACTGGCTGGAGTGGACATTTGGTGGTCCCTGAAGTTCCAGCACAAGCCCTTCTCCTATCTCTGCTGTCCTCCCACAGCTTCCTCCTGTGCTGTCCTTCTCTTCCCTCTCAAACTCAGTCTGCAGTGATGGCAATCCCTGTGTCTTCCCCAGTGCTTCACCCAGCTCTGTGAGAGCCTGGACACGGCAGATCCCTCTATCTCTGCACACTTCTACACTAGGCTGCAAGAGGAACATCAGCCCCTGCTGTACAGACTTCTTCAGGGATCCATCTCAGAGCAGCCTGCTCTTCAAGGTAGCAGTGGTAGCAGCTCACCACCTCTTCCTGGGGTTTCTTCTCCTTCCTGTCCTTGGGCTCCATCAGAGCACTGATGGCCATTGCAGTGTTGTTGTCCTGAAGTGGTGGCTGAAACTTACCTGTCCAGACCCCTGCTAACTTGGGCTCTCCTCCCTCAATCCCAGATCTCACCCCTCTCATGTCACAAGCCTGACTTTTTCTCTCTTGCCATCCAACCCCATCTTGCAGCCCCTCAGCACCTCTAGCACAATGACTCCCAAGCTCTGTCCCTGTGCAGGTGCAGCAGTGGAGGGCAAGTCAGCCCATGACCAGAGCCCATGTGTGGCAGATCTCTTCCTGGCTGCATTGGCTGCTGCATGCAGCATCCCCTTGGAGAGAAACAGCTGTCGAGAAGCCAAGCAGCAGGTCAGACCATCCCTCTGTACAGGGTGAAGAGGTGTGGTCTCCACAGGGGCAGCAGCCCTTTGGAGGATCTCTTTCTCAACAGGAGAGTGGAGTGGAGGGTTGGGATCTAGCCTCTAGCTTCATTAGCTGCAGGGCTGATATTTGTGGGCTGCACTTCCCCAGCCAATAGCTGACTTTAGGAATGTAAGGATTCTTGAATCAATTAAGAGACACAAACTTAGGATCTGAACTGTGAAATGGGCTAAGTAAAGAACTAGACAATGCATGGAAAACATGAAGAATTCTTTTATTACAGTGATATGAACTGTTGGAAATCTGAAATTGAAGGCTCAGTAAGAGGGAAAACAGTTACAGATTTACATTTGATTCTTTAACTCTGAGTCAACAAGGAGGGAAGCAGAGGAGGAATCTTGTGTGGGATTGTGCATCAAAGCCATGCTAGGTCATGCAGATAGGCATCCCTTAGTATACACAGGCAAGATGTAGGAAGCAGATGCTTTCTTTCATTAAAGTATTGCTAGCATTAAACTCCTCTAGTCTGTGCAGTGTTTCAGGTGCCCAGAGTGCTGATTTCTGGCTGATTTCTGCAGGTTGCTTACACAGTAGCTGAAAAGCTCATGGAAGGAGAGAGCCAGCAGCTTGCAAGACTGCTGGGGAGACTGGAGCACCCAGGCTGCTCCTTGAACGTCCTGAAGGTAATGGCCCTGTCCTTTTACCTGGCTCTGCCCAGAGGTACCTGGGCTTTTGCTCTGTAATTAGGAGCATGGGGAAGATGGAACTGTGGGCCTAGCCCTCAGTGATTCCCATCTGCCTGGTGTCAGTTGTTGAATAAATGAGCCCATGGTAGCCATGGGATGGAATGTGTCTGCAGGGGCCGGTAGGCATCTCTCCCCTCTGCCTTGCAGATCCTCTACGCTGGCTGCCATGCCTGCCCAAACCTGTGCCAGCACCTGGGAAGGAGCCAACCACTCTGGGGTTCCCTCATGCAGCTCTTGAAGGCTGAGGTAGGACTGACCACAGCCCTGGTGAAGGGTAGGAGTGTGGGCAAGCAGGACGCATTCCTCTGAGCACTGGTCAGATGAATCTGTGTGGGGGGAGGAGTTAAGGGGAGTTTAATCTGAAGAGTGCAGTTCTCCTCTGGGGCCCAGAAACACCTCCTTCTCCCCTGCAATGACTCCTGTTCCTTTGGTAGGTCCCTGTGGTGGAGGTGACCCAGAAGACAGCCTGTGAAGCCTCTCTGTACCTGCTGGCCCTGCTCACCCTGCAGCTTCAGGTATCTCCTCCCAGGTAAGCACATACTTTCACTCATGGGTGGGAGAGGAACATACTCTGCCCTGAACAGCTCTCTGTCCTGCACACTGCCCAGAGCTGGGAACCTGGTCCCACTGATCCCTCTGAACCAGACATACCAGCAGAATTCTGGGCAGTGTGGGTGGGTGCTGGGGATGTGATGAGGATGACCTCGTGCAGACAAAGAGGTGCTGTGAACCAGGGCTCCTCCTGAAACACAGCTGCTTCCCAGCCTTGTGGGTATTTGGATGCTGCTATTCTGCATGATATGCAGAATGTGGGGACATAGTGCTTCTCTCCTGCTCCCTGCATTTCAGGTGTGAGGAGGTGGTTACCCTGGTTATGGATCTCATCACCCAGTCTCCTGTTGTGTCCCTTGTGGTAAGCTACCGCCCCCCCGCCTCCGCCAGACCTACTACTGAGAGCCTTGCAGACCCCTGCATCCCATTTAGGCCTTACTGTTCCTCACTCAGGATGGGATGAGGCTGAGGGATGAAGGGTCAATAGCGACCGAGCAGATGGGAAAGTCCCAAAGGTGCTGAACTCTCCTTGTCCCACAGGGTGCTGCAGCATTTCTCCTGGCACAGCTCAGTCAGCATGGAGTGGCTTTGGAGCTCAAGAGAGAAAAGATCCTACCAGTGGTAACAAATGCACTGACAGCACCTGCTGAGGTACGGGATGGGGACAGAGAAGCTGGGGACCCATGTATACCCCATGGTGGAGGTGTGCAAAGGGGGGCTCAGAGGCGTGCAAGTGTGATGCTGCTGCCCTCAAGCCCAGCACCCAGCTCCATCCTGTCTCCCACTCTCTTACAGCTGCAGCTTCCCCTCCCAATGGCTGCGGGTCTCTATGATGGGCTCTTTTTCCTCCTGCTGAAACTCCTTGAACAGGTACCAGTATGGCCATCTCCTTTGCCTGGTCCCTTCCAAAAGGTGTAGTGGCAAAAAGGCCTGAATGCAGATTGGTAATGAGGCTGAGGGAAACCAGGAAACTGCAGTTTTAGCTGAGCTGTACAACCCCATGCAAATCACCTTATGTCCCTGCAGGGCTGATGGGAGAGTGATGGGCAGGGAGGGGTGATCCATGGGCACACTGGAGTGAAGGAGAGCAGAGATGCCCTGGGACTGACACTGTTGAAAGGTGCAGGAAGACCTCTGGCCTATGTCTGTCTAGCCATGACCTTCACAGGACCGTAGGACTGGCAGAACCATGTATCAGAACTTTGGGGAGCCATGGAGGACCATGAAGGCTTCTGACGTCTGCCTCTCTGCCTCTAGGAGGGTGTGGTCTTGGAGCAGGGCTTTGCTTCCTCAGAGCTATGGAGCCTGGTCTGGCACTGTGTTGCTGTGGTGCTTCATGTGGACACCGACAGGGCAGCAGTGGAGGAAGACAGACCCCCAGGTGCTGGTCACCCCATGGAAGAGCCAGACTGGAACCTCCTCTCCCCTCAAGGTAGGAGCTGCAGGACAGCAGGGCATCTGCCCTGGACCCTACTTCACATCCTGCCCTCAGACTAACCCATGTCTATCCCTGTCCACATCTGTTTCCTGAGACTAGAGGACTCAGGTGGTTTTTCTTGAGGATTGCAGTGTCTTCTGGGGAGAGAGGACTAGGCTGGCCCATGCTGTGCCCAGTTGGCAGCAGCTCAGCTGAGCTGGCTGTGGAGGAACAAAAAAGGGTGTCTATGCTGCAGAGAATGTCCCTTCTGGCAGGTGTGACCACCTGGGTGGAGATTTTCCGGTTTTGGGCAGGGAATCACAGAATCCACCCTGAAGCAGCTTGAGGTACAGCACAGACAGAAGGGATTTTACAGCCTTCTTTAGCTTTGCCCTTCTGTCTGCTGTTTCCCCTGCAGGAATCCTGTCATTCCTCAGCCTGGCCCTTGGCGTCTTCACTCGTGAGTCCCACCAGTGTCTGTCTCAGCTCACCCAGTCCCATGGTGTCCTCATGGTGACACTGAAGAGACTGCTGTCCCCTGGCTTCTTGGCATGCCTGGCACAGATGTGAGTTGTGGCAAGGGCTGAAGTGGGCAGAGCTCAGCTGCTGAATGGGGCATGGACATAAGCACACCAAGGGCTGAGAAGTTCCTGACCTGGCACTTACAGAGCCTCTCCTTAGTGCCTGGCATGGGGAATGCCCTTTACCCTTTGCCCTGAGGTTTTTCTGATCACCTCTGTATTAAGCCCTCTCTCTTTCACAAATTCAGGCAAGCAGGAAAGGATGGGGACCCTGAGGTTGTTCCAGATGTGGTCATCCAGGTCTGCCAGCTCCTCTCTTTCCCTTTTGCCCTGGATGTGGATAAAGACACCTTAGCACTGATCATGGAGGCTGTGAGAGATACCCAGATCCCTGCCCAGCTGCTGCAGGTACTCTCTTGGCCCTGTGTTCCTCCTTCCCCCCATACTGTGGTGGGACCTTGCAGTCCCCAATGCATGACACCACTTCACATCATGTTGGCAGTTCCAGTCCACACAAGGACGTCATTTGGGTGCTATGCAGTCCTTGGAGAAGCTTGACTGGCTGCTAAGCTTGCGCTGACCTGCTGGCTGCTTTCAGCTGCTTGCTTGGCTTGGCTCACACATAAGTGCAGTGCATTCAGCAGTGCTGTTTGTCCTTTTGCCTTAGGTCTGCGCTCGCCATCTGCCCTTCTCATTCACCGAGCTCCCCATGGGCCTCCTGTGCCAACTTGTGGTGTCTGAGACACAGGTCATAGACCAAGTGGTGAAGGAAGCTGCTGCCTCAGAGCACACTGTTGCCTTCTTGCAGTCTGTCTTGGTCTCAGACAATGTCATACTCACAAGTGACCTCCTGTCTCTCTTGACACATGTGGCCCGGGCCTGTTCAGAGCACCTGCCCTTTTTCCAGAGGATCCTCAGGGACTCAGATGTGGCTGACCAGCCACTAACCTACCTGCTCAGCCACAAGCAACACCTGATACGGGCTAGAACCTGCAACTTGCTGGGCAACCTGCTCCGCCACAGCTTTTCCCCAGCGCTGCAGAGCCAGCCCGGTTGGCTGGAGAGATTGCTGGAATGCCTGTCGGACCCGGAAAGCTACGTGCGCAGGGCAGCCACCTTTGCAGTGGGCAACGCCGCCTGCCACGAGTCTTGCCCGGCGGGGACCCTGGGCAGGGCCGTGCCCACGCTGACCCGGCTGCTGAGCGACACTCAGGCCAAGACGTGCTGCAACGCGGCCTTGGCCCTCAGCAACCTGGGCCAGCGCGGGGCGGAGCTGCGGGATCTGCTGATCCAGAACAGGGCCCCCGACCTCCTGCTGCAGGTGAGCTGCCAGGACCCGCGGGAGGCCGTGCGGGAGGGAGCCCTCGAGGCACTGCAAGCCCTCAGCCAGCACCCTGGGATCCAGCAGGTACTGCATGGGGATCTCGGCTCCTTTGGGGGACCTGATGGAGTTGTATATCTTGTGTATATATATGTGTATGATGTATGTGTTTATAAAATTAGAGTGTGTATCAGATATGGTAGTAAGCTGACGATATGGGGAAAAGGGGTGAAATGTCAAGCTGGTGGTTGACTTCTATCCCTTCTCTTGGCTGTGCAGGTCCTGCTGTCTCTCAAAGCCACCGAGAGGCTGGCCGCGCTGGCCGGTGTCAGTCCCCGGTCGCCTTCTGCCCGGCACTGCGAGCTGCTCCTCCGCCGCCTCGCCTCTCTGCCCGGCCGCGCGGGGCCCAGCCAGCTGTCGCCGCGTACCGGCGCTGAGCGGTGACGCCCGGGCATCCCGGGACGTTACCGACCCTTTCTTCGCCCTCCTCAGGCTCCAGTCCGACCTTCCTTGGAACCCGCTTTGTGCGCCTGAGGGGGACTCTACCCGGCCGTCTTTACCCGGGGTGCCCCCCGTGGGAAGCCGTCCCCGAAAAAAATGCCCTTTCCTTCTTCAACCGCGCTTTTCCCGACGGCTCTCGGAGCCGTGCCCACACCGCGGGGCTGCGCTCCGCCGCCGGGCACCGCCGCACCGCCAGGGGGCAGTACACCCCACGACGCGGTGGCTGCCGGGAGCTGTAGTCACGTGGGCCCGCCGGCTCCCCATGGTAACGGCGGCGGCGGGCTCGGGCGGGCGGTGAGTATGGCGGCGTTGCCGCCCTCTGGAGTGGGGCTTCGCTCCCTGTGTGTCTCCCCGGGTTGCACCCTCAGAGTTCCCCCACTGGGGCGTAGGGCTCTTGGGCCCTCCGCTGCCTCCCCGGCTCCTCCTCCCCATAGTTGTGCCCCGGCCCCGAGGAGGCAGCTCGCTCTACCCCGGGCCTCCTCGCATGGTCCTGCCCTATGACCCCGTGGGGCTGGGGGGGCGCTTCGGGAGCGCTCTGCGGCGAGACATGCTAGGGTCGGCGGCCTGGGCGGCGCACCGGCGCCAGGATACAGCATCCTGGTAGCGCCTTTGGCTTCAAAGGTTTCCACTTGGAGAAATGAGACACAGAGCATGTTCCCCGGGTGAGCGGCAAGGAGGAGGGCCTGGATCCCCAGCCGCCCACGGCTTCAGGGAGCCTCTCCAACGGTACTTGGAGTATTAGGATGGACCTGGGGTTCACCAAGCCCAGGTGGGGTGCTGGGATATCTTGGCTGTCCTCCTTTCATTGGGGTCTTGGCTTGGCTGCTCTTGTAAGAAGGAGCCGTTGAGTCTGAAAAATGGAAGGCAGAGCTGAGTTGAGACAAGCCTGGAGTATTTCCTCAATGCCTCCAAGGTTTGGGCAGGGAGTGAGGAGCGAAGGCGTGGGGAAGCCCTGTGGCTCTGTGCCAGCCTCCTGTCTCCCTGTGCAGCTGGGCTGTGGATGTCTCATGGCAGGCACAGTTCAGCCCCACAGCTCCACATCAAAACCCTGCCTACATGACTCAGTGAGGCTTGTCTTTCTTATTGTGGTGTTCTCCTCACGGAATGGGCAGATGACATTTAGTGACTTCCAGACAGTTTGGGGGAATTTACAATGTTATTACAGTTTTTTATTATATATTATAATATTTCCACAATTCTTACGGTTTGTACCCAGCAGATAGTAGCATTTGTCTGTCCTTTCGTTGTTCTCTTGCTGCAGTTGTTTTGTGTTAGGTAAAATTTGTTGATGACAATTGCCCCCTCCCACACCTCAGTCAAAGGGGCCTTCTCAGCACAGCAGGGATTGCATTTCAATGAGGAGCTGAGGGGACGAATGTCACTATCCCACGTAACAGCGCCTGTGTGGAGATGTCAGATCACTGACACAGGTTGGGGGCTTTGGCTGCTGTACCAGCCTGGCTGGGTGCCACTCTCTGACATTTCCCAGGTTCCTGCCATGCATCAAGTCTGGGAGTATTTGGCAGCTTCTCACCTTGAGTCTCTGTTTCTTCTCCACTGCTCAGCCCTGAGAGATTGCTGTATGGAGCAGGGTTTTGCAGTGCCTTCAGAAGAATTCTTCCCAGCCCTGTCAGGACATGGAAGAGTCCAGAGAACATACTGAAGGAAAAATCTGGGGAACCTTTTCTTCCGATTGCAGATATGTTTCAGTAAAAAATATCAAGAACAGAAGATGGACTAAGAAATTATTTGTTTTGAACTAGTTGGGCAATTCTTGTCTCCTTGCTATGTATTGATATATTATACTTGTTTCACTCACTCCAAATCCTCCACTTTTATTTTTCTACTAAAGGCCAGTCTGCCTAAGACCAGATGGAGCTCTGCTGACTGCCTTCAGAGCTACACTCGTGGCCAAACTCTTCCCAGGTCTTGCCATGTAATTCTCCTCTACCTTTTCTTCCTCAATGAAGCTGAATTTAAAAAGCTGTCCCATCAGTTTGGATCTTCAGGAATGGGCTGTAGACCTCCCTGGTGAAAGGCTGTTAAACACGTCATGGTTTAGCTTGTTGCTTTTAACCCAGATTTGTTTCTCTACTCTTGTTTATGCTGCAGTACAACAGCTTCTGTTGCCCGTGTGATGAAAAAATACAAATCGGGTGGGAGCAAGGGCAGGCACTTACCAGCTTCACCGCTGGGGGAACAGAGCTGCATGATCTGCTGTTACTGTGCACTACTTCTGCTTCAGGGCCTGGGGAATATGCCAGGGAGAAAAATTGATATCGTATGATAGGGATAGGGACTTCATGCTCTGCCCTTTGCTGTGGCCCCTGTACTGTCTGGTCACAGCCAGGTCAGCCCTCTTGGAGCCAAACCTTTATTTTAGGTGTCCCTGGTGCCCTCAAGCCACAGCCCTGGATTTTCTGCCTCCTATGCCAGAATTTCTCACCTCATCTGGCAACTGTGTTTCAATGCCCTTAGAGTGGTGGGAAAGTCTCTTGTGAAGTCAAACACCAGCCTTCAGTCCCCAGCCCACCCTGTGTGTGCATGGAGGGAGGGATTTGCTGCAGCACAGGTAATGGCTGGATTCCAGCTCTCCCATGGCTTGATCATCATCCTGCTGTCCCTGACATTTGCCTCCACCTTGGGAACAGGAGCACACACCTGAGCTGCTCTATTTCTCTTGCAGGGCAGTGCTCTGCTTAGGTAAAGGGTCATTTGGGGCAGCCATACACTCCTCATACTTCCTCTATTCAGTGTGGAGTGGAGTTTAACACCACAGCTGATGAATGGAAATGACCAGCCCTGGCACAAATGTCATCCTGGGATGCAGGTGGAATTTGCTGATGCATCCTCACAGAGGTTGATTTCTCATTGATATTTTTTTGTTTTTTGACCTGAGTGGCCAAGCAAAAACTTGATGTCTTGATTAGGACAGAAATTGGTTGTCATCTTCTGAATTTGCACACAAAATGTGGTTCTGCAAGGATGATACTGAAGAGGGAGAGTGATGAGGAAACATCATCACTCTGAGATGATGATGAGGGAACAGTGAGGCTTAACTGTGTAGCAAAGCAGCACACCAGGCTGTTGTACCCAACAGCATTTCTGTGGTGGCCAAGCAGCCTGTAAGCTGTGTCGTCCTCATGGACAAATTGTGGCCAGTAACACACTCTGCTCTTGAGCTTGAACTTGCTGGTGTCCTCAGGTGCTTTAGCTTGGTGTGTGACTGCCCTTGAGGCCGCTTGTTTCTTGGAGCTGATGTAGGAGGGGGAGAGCTGTTTCCATGCTGTTGAAACACAGGTTTGTACCTAGCTACCAGCTGTTGGAGCAGTTTTAGGCACTCGGTTTCAGATCAATGTTGTTGATCTTGTACAAAGTTTTAAATATTTTGAAGGGATACAAACCCTCATTTTGAAATGTATATTGGTTTTAAAACCTGTTTGTTTTGCATTGTTAACTTGCTTATTTAAGCTTTAGTCAAAAGTCCCAGAGCTGCCAGTGAGGAACTTGGTGTGAACTCAGGTCTCATTTAGAAGAAGATATCCTTTTTAGTCATAAAGAACAGAACAGAATATGCACCCTGCAATGGCATAAAAAACAATAGCAATTGCAGTTGTCAAATCTCTCCTCCTTGTGACTTTAAGCTGTGTGTGGCTGACAACACATTATCAGGTCAGCTTGCGGTGCATACATTTACAAGCTCTTGTTATTTTAAGTGTGTCACCAGGCTGCACTTAAAATAACCTCCACAGCCAAATTCCTCTAACAGTGGGATAATGTACTCACCCAGGCTCATAAGGTCTTGACCTTTCCTATTTGGAACAGGACTGTGAGGAGCTGCCACGCTGCCATTTGAGGAGCACATGCTGCAGCGGGGCTCAGGCTGGAAGAAAGGATTTTGACTGATGCATACTGGGGTGCACAGAGGCTGGGGCACGTGTTCACCCTGTGCTCTTGTGATGTGACATTTGTACAGGCTGTGGCAGTGCTCTAGCTGACCTCCCAATGCTCGTGAGCAAGCTGTGTGGCAATAAAAGGTGCCAGAATAATTGTAAGCAAGTCCAACTGTACAGTCACTCCAACAGTGACAGCTTTGGACTCTGTATTGTGTGTCAATAAGTCCAAGCCAAAATCCATTAATTACTTGGTTGGGTTTTGAATTCCAGCCTGGCCAGTTCACCCAGGGCTTTTCCTAGCTCGTGTTTCTACAATAAAATTTCAAGAGTGTAGTTTTATTGCCATTGTGAGATGCAGAACAGACTCCACCTCCTTTGTCGTAGAGTTGGGTTGGCAGAACTGGGATTGCATCAAACTGTGACTTCGTCCATCCCAAAACTCCAACTGAATTAAACATAAAGAGAAAGCTTCCATGCTGGTAACCAGCAGGGATTTACCCTGGGGCAGGTGACGTGATTACTACCCAGCGCTACAGAGATGTGACAGCTGCTGTCCTGTTGTGACCACAGCCTGGCATGTGAAGGTGCCTCCTTCCATCTCCGTCAGGTCTCTTGGTTGCTCAGCAGCTGCTTTGTCAAGCTGTCCTTGCAGTAAGGATGGGAGACAGTTTTCAGGTGGACCTTAGAATTGGCTGTGCTGGCATGCAGGAGGTGTGAATGGGGGGAAGGACAGGCAGCCTGAGCTGGTGCTGTCAGTCTGTATGCATCCTGACCTGCCCCCTGTGGAGGCATTTTCCTTTCATCCTTTCATCCTTCCTGCCCCTCCTGCCCCTATCTCCGAACCTCCTGTGTCTCTACAGGGAAACAGTGATGGTGACTAGCTGTTGGCCAGCCTAGGCTCTACCTGAAAGCTGTACTAAAGGTTCTGCAGCTTTCTTAAGCAGCCGCTGCTTCCTGCACACCCCTCCCCTATGCTGGCCCAGACATTTCTGCAACTCCATGACAATACTGCTCTGGAGAGGGCCAAGCTCAGCACATTTTTGTCTGCTACTGTGGGGCTAGGTTCCAGGCAGCGTTAGCTAAGGCTGTGCCATGGCCAGACCTCCACCCTGGCAGTCACAGCTGTCAGCAGTACTCCCGTGTCTGTGTCAGTAACATCTGTGCTACCATTGTCACTTACTCCAGATCAGGGCCACACAGGGCTTTTGCTGGCATTTTCACACCTGTGTATAAGCTGATTGTAAGATTCACAGCCCTTGTTACAGCTTCATTAGGCCACATCACTTTTATTTTTACAGTAGGATGATCCACTGATAGCTGTGAAGCTGAATGGAGATGAGGTACAGATGGCTTTCACTTCAGGCTCGTTTTACAAGGTCATTTGCAGCTGGGTGAGAGTGCAGGTGGTGGCCGAACTGGCAGCACACTTGGTGATGCCACAGTGACAGACCCTATAGGTGGGAACATTTTAATTCTCCTTGGATTTTAATTTGCTCTTTAACACCTATGTTCACCGGTGTCCTAGGGTCACTTGGTGGCCCAAGTGCACCTGTGAGCTGGGTGCATCTGAGGGGGACAGCATATGGAAGCCAAGCTCCAGTCCCTTGTTTACTGGGTGGAAATTTGAGCTGGGCAGGTGGCGGCATCTGAGCCGCAGCTTCTTCGCTCTGTGCTAATCGCTGTGAATGTCACAACACAGCCAGGTTTGCTGCTGGGGGCAGATTGGGTAGCAATGGAATAGTGTTGTACATCTCAGTTGTGGGATTCTCTTCCCTGGGGTTTGGAGCCTCTCTGGGCTGCAACTCCCACTGGGATGCAGGCACCCTGTCCTCGTCAGGGATTCTCAGCTTGGCTGTACAACCCCTAACAAGCGATGCAGCCCTATGGGCATGGAATGGACTTGGCACCTTCCATATTTTCTTGCAGAGCTTGGCAGGGTAGCTCCTATGGGATCCTGCATGGGATGTTCCATCTCCTACATCCTCTGTCTGAGATGCTGCTGACCTGGTATGTGCTGGAGACTGGAGCTGATTCACAGCTTGAGAAAGTCTGGCACGTGTAGGTCTGTTGGACCCAGCCCTGTGGTGATGTGAGCTGCTGTGATGGTGCTACAGAGCAGCCTCCGGGTCTCCAAGTTACACTTTAACTACTGCATCTGAGGCTTGTCTTTCAGGTGAGAAAGGAGTATATATATGTATGGCAAGAAAAGAAAGAGTGTGATGGTTGATGCACTGCTTATCCTTCTTTTTATACCTTTTTTTTAAACATGCAAGTGTGTGAGAGCTGGAAGGTGGAAGAACCAGCCAGCCTGCTTGGAATACAAATTCCTATCGCAGCTGTATCCAGGGGCCCTCCAGGCATGTGTTAAAGCAATAACTGGATAGTGGTTTGTTTTCTCTTTCCCCTTCTCCTCAGGCAAGAGGATGTTGCAGATATGGTGCAATAGTTCATTTTAGGAAGATTCAGGACATTTACGTCTGCAGCTCTGTGGTCTGCCAGTTTGCTCCTTGCAGGAGACTTTTCTATAGGACTGCAGTGGGGAGAAATGTATTATGCACAGTACTGCCAGTCTCTGCTGGAAACAGATGTGTTGATGTTAGCACAGCCCTGCATTTATTTCTTGCTGCCTTCTCAGTCCTGAGCTCCATAGGAAGCCTTTAGCCCTCACCGAGCTTTTTAAGAAAACATTTTTGAGAAAACATCATTTTAAAAGGAACATGAGAAACATGTTCCTTTCAAAAGCAAGGGCTGAGGTTCTCACCTAGTTGTGTAACGTTGCAAACTGAAGCTTTAAGGAGGAGGGAGAAAAAATAAGCAGACATTTTGGGGTTTGTGGCAGAGTGAGGAGGCTGATGTTGGAGACACAGACCTGTAGGAGTGGACTCCAGCTGCCGTGTGGATCCCAGGCAGGCAGCCTCTTGTTGCAGACAGGATGACTGTGCTGGGGCTGCTACCCTGGCTGGTAGTCAGTCACCCCTGTGTGTTTGCAGGGTACAAGCTTTCCTGCAGATGGCTCTCTTTACATTGCTTTTTGCATCCTCTGGTTTCATGTGAGATGCCAGCCGTTCTTTAATTTGATCTCAGGAGACTCTTGGTCAGTAAATGGGAGATGTGGTTTCCACCATGCAGGAAAAGCAATTCACCCTGCTTTCCTCATGTGGCATTGGGCTGGGTGCTGTGCCCTGACAGGGCAACAGTGTCTTTCATGCTGTCCTTTTGTTTCAGGCCAGCAAAGATGCTGCTGTAGATGACTGAAGCACTTGTACCTCATGTGCTATGGCTCTACATGGCGTCTGCAGAACCAGACCATGCTAATCTGGGCCCCAAACAGCAGAAGAGCATTAAGCTGGAGTCAGGCACCCTTTCGGCAGACAGACCTGAGCCGTGCTGGGCCTGGTGCCTTGCTCAGCAGCAGGCGAAACCCATCTGGAATTTAGAGGAGAGATATGAGAGTGCTTTCCAGGATCGCATCCTGCTCTCCTCAGGGATCCCTCTGCAGCAATCCTGCCGCATGTGCTCACCGTCACTATGCCATGCACAGCCCACTGAAGACAGCCTCCAAAGCCCTCTGGACACTGGCTCTGTCACAGGAAGGGTGATGTCTTCCGTGCTGATGGAGCCCTGCCTGCTGGCAGAGGAGTGCTCTGGAACTGGGGTCAAAGGCTCTGCCCTCAGCTCAGGTCAGCAGGCTGCCAGCTCCTCTAGACCAGTGCTCAGTAACAACTCCTTCCTACGGCCAAGCAGTGCTAAAGTGCCTTTTCTGCAGTCACTGAAGATGAAAACGGTGGGAAACACCCAGAGTTTTCCTGCTGTTTCATGGTCGCACTCTGGGGACAATAGAGACAGCTTCCCTAACAGCCTAATGAACAGAGCAGTGATGAACAGCAGCGCTGTGTCAGAGCAAAACACAGTCCCCTCCCTTACCCCTGTGCCAAGCAGTGCGATCCTCAGGAAAGAGCAGTGCTCCTTGGACGATGCTAAAGGGAGACTTCACAGCTCAAAAGAGAAGGAACCAGAGAAGAGCCTCTTGAAGGCTGTGCAGCAGCTACCTAGTCAGGCTGTCACACACAGAGGCTTTGGGTGCCAAGTTGAAAGTTCTGGTCATATGAATGTGGGCAGCCTGTCCAACCAGAACAGCAGGAGGAAGCAGCATGCTGGAGTGCAGATCATCCAGAAAGAAACCATGGCTCCCCTGAACTTGGAGCAGGGGAGCCATCGCCTTACCAGTAACTCGAGCCTTACGGGCACCTGTGATGCCGTTGCCTGCACTAAGCAGATCAGTGACCGTCCCTTGGCCTCGCGTGTGGGTGCTCCCGACTGCAGCACCGGCTGCCGTCCCGAGGGCATGCTGAACCCCCTGTGTGCAGGGGACCGCCTGGAAAGAACAGAGCCTCTGCACTTTGCTGCCATCTCTGAAGTGGCAGCACAGGTGTCCACTATCCAACTGGAGAAAGAGGAGAAACAGGCCCATGCTGTTGTCCCAGGAAAGCTTAAGTAAGTAGAGGCAGGAGGAGGGAGGCTGCTGAAGGATGTGCCAGGCTGGCCGTTGCATCTCTGCATGTTGGGAGAGGATGCAATGTGGGCAGTATGAGGCTGCCTTAAGGATAACCATGGGCTGTGTCCATGAACAAAATCCAACTGCAGCATCCTAGTGGGTGGGGCACCTTCCTGCAACCCCCAGCTCGACACAAGCCCTTGGGATGGCTCCAAGCTGTTCCGCCTTCTCTTTCAACTGCAGCATAGCATTACTGTGTGGCTTTTCTAGTTTATTCTCCTCAGCAGGGAGATCTGCCTGCAGTGGTAAGCTCTGCACATATGTTGAAAAAAGCCTGGTGTTGAGCCAGGCCTTCCTAGTCAGAGACGTAGGTTCATAAAAGAACACAGAGCTAATACAGGATAGAGAGGGTGTGAGGACATGGAACTCCTGCTGGGAGAGGGTGTCCTTATTTCTCTTCTTTCTAGTTACTATGGAGCATGGTCCAGAACGTGGTCTGGGGCTCCTCATCTTGCTAGCTTGCGATGAGTGCTTGTACATCAGCACTGGAGAGGCAGTGCCCTCATTCCCTTGCCCACATTATCTCATGCTGCCTCATGGACTTCTGCATTTTTGGTCCCAGAAAGCATGTGCCATTCCTTCTGATGCGATGTCCTTTGTCCCAGTGCTACTACTGAGAAGTCACTGATGGAACTGAGCCATCCCCAGGATGAAGCAGAGGAAGAACTTCCTGATGGCCTGGACGAGAGCTGCAGTGAGGAAGAGTATGAGGACAGTGAGTGCTGGTTCCTCAGGGAGGGCTGTGCTCCATGCCTCAATGTGGGGAGTGCAGGAGCTGTCTGGAAGCTGGGGATGAGCACAGCTGCTCTCCTGTCTTACATTCATGCTGTCATTTCAGGATGTACTAAACCCAAAAGTGATGTAACAACAAGGAGGAACTGCATGGGTTCCTTCTCAGAGCAAGCTAGGGCTCACCACTCCTTCTCCAGAGCTTACCCATCTCCTCTCTGTGCAGGGCTGTCAGCTCTGCTCCTTTCCCTGTTTTTGCAACCCTAATTGGTGGGCAGAAGCCAGGATCCAAGGATTTTGGGCAGCTGGAAGGTTCTGTCCCCTGGAGCATTTGTTTCCCCTCTTCCCTCTCTAACTCCGTGTGCACTCACTCCTCACAGAGACAAAATTTGAGTTTGTTTCCTCCTGCAGGTGACTTGGATGCTTCCTCTGATGCCGATGTGTCGTCCAGTGGCTCTGTGACTCCTGGATCCAGGTTAGTAGCTGTAAACAGTGCACTGAACTTAGCATATTTTTCCAGACTTGTCCCAGGACCCAAGGGAATGGCCTGATGTTGTGTCAGGGGAGCTTCAGGTTGGACATTAGAAAAAGATTCTTCACCCAGAGGGTGGCTGGGCACTGGAACAGGCTCCCCAGGGAAGTGGCCACAGCACCAAGCCTGACAAAGTTCAGGAAGTGTTGGGACAATGCTCTCGGGCATATGGTGTGACTCTTGGGAATGGTGCTGTGCAGGGCAGGGAGTTGGATTCAGTGATCCTTGTGGGTCCCTTCCAAATCAGCATATTCTGTGATTCTGTCATCTTTGCGCTCCATGGTGACAGAGGAGATGGTAGCATGTGGGGTAAAAGAGTGAAGGTAGGAACAGATGTCCCAGCCAAAGCAAGTTTCCTTGCTACCCTGCAGACTAGAACTACCTTTCTTGCTACAGGCAGCAGCCTGTAAAGTGCTAAGGGTGCATTCACTCCAGCAAAACAGGGGTCTTAATTTCACTGGCACTGACAGTTGCTGAGTTAGGTTTACTGGAATAAATTATGCTCTTGCAGTGTCATTGCCTGGCAGATGAAGCAGAGTGGAGATGTCCTGGGCCAGAGATTGCAAAAGCTCTTTGGAGTTTCGTGTCTGAGCATAGCATCCTAGAAACAAGTCCTGGAGCCTGGGTTTTTCTTTAGCTTTTGGGAGAATCTTTGTCTGTGGAGGACTGGTCAGCCTGTTGTCATCTGAGCCCTGCCTTCATGACTTCTGGCTGACCTTTGTTAGACCTGGTTTTGCCCATCCAGCAGTGGGAGCTGGTCTTGCACGGGGACTGCCTCAGGCTTTGCTGTCTGCCTGACAACTTGCTGCTTCCCATAATGTCATCACTAATCTGGGAGACAAGCAAAGCTTTCTGTGAGCAAGTGTTGAGCCTTAGGGTGCTGCCGAGCTCTGGGTGTGCGCATGTTGTGAAAGTCTTGCAGAAGTGATGTAAACTGGCTCAGCAGATGTTTCTGACAGGATGTGTCTGGTTAGGCTCTGGGGCAGAAGCGGAAGCAGTGCTTGGGCTAAATGCCTCTTGTAGCAAGGAAGGAGGCATGTTGACCACTTCCTTGTGCAGGCTGTGTGCTGCCCCAGCCTTGAAATCTTTGCACATGTCTCCTGCCTTCAGTTTGTTGTGGGCAAAACCAGTTTTGTGCTAGAAAATGTTAATCCTCTGCCAATTAATAAACTTTTAATTATTGATTTTAGTACTGAAAAGAAAAAAACCAACAAGGACTTTGAGAAAACTGCTTCTTCCCCCATCCTGGTCTCCAATTCTTTTGCAACAAGCTACACTCAGTCCCTTCAGTGAGGCACGGGGTAGCCTGAGAGATTTGTGATAGTGTCTTGTAGTTCCTTTTCTTTTGCTGCTCTTTCTTCCTTACTCGATTGCTCTGGTGTGACTTCTTCTACTGGCTGCAGTGACATATATTTGGAATATATGTTCATTGCAAACCCTGCTTTTCACTTAATCACAACCTTAATAGAAACATTACAAATTCTATCCCTCCTTCCAGGTATTGGGGCTTGCTGTGGTAAGGTGTACATACAGTGGGTGAAACTCCATCCCTCTTCCCTGCAGCACAGCAAAACCACGAGGGTTGCAACAGTTAAATCATATGTATTAAAATCTCCACCCCTTGTTCCCTTTGACAAGCTTATAGGGTTTGCCGTGTAAAAAACTCCACTCCTTGCCTCAGAAAATCACAAACCCCACAGTGGTTACTTGGCATGTGCATTCATTGCAGACTCACCCCCTCATTGCTGCAGATTGAGTTACTGACCTTAGTGCCCATTGCTTGCACCACATTGCAATGATGGTGCAAATTCCTGAGACCCAGATTAAGGCTCCTTCCGGCTTCCCTTTTCCGTTGTTACTTTTCACTTTTAGCCAGCTGCCTACTGCTTCATCTTTCTTAGGAGTTGCATCGAGTGCCTGGCCCAGCCTGCTGAGGCTCAAGACAAAGTGCTCAAACCAGCTCTTGTCTGCAGTTTATTCCCTAATGTGCCTCCAACTATCTACTTCAGTACTCGGGATGAGACAGGTGAGCCAGGGTCTGTTGTTGCACAGGGTGAGGAGTGGCCAGCCCATTATTAGGAAGCAAGTAATACACACAGCCTGGAGCTGGCTGGCAGGGCTGCCCTTAATGCTTCCCTTGATGAGACCCAGCACTGGTGTCAGATCCAAATGGCTGCAGTAAACTGTGTTGCTTCCGTTGTCTGAAGCATGTCGGGCTGCCACTGAATGTTCCAGTGTCCTGGATCTCCCCCAGCTGTGGAGTCTTCTGCTCCATGACGGTTCTGCAATGAGGGCTATGCACCCTTGTCTACAGGCCTGGTACCTGTGCAGCAAACCATAAGGATTTTGCAGCTGTAGTAAATCCAAGTATTGTGTTCGTTTTCCTTCAGTCTTTAACTTTTTGCCTTCCTAGTCGAAAAGCTGCCTTGGGAGCAGAGGAAGCTGCTGCGATGGAAAATGTGCAGAGTCACGCCTAACATAGTGAAGCAAACGATTGGCAGGTCCCACTTCCGAGTTAGCAAAAGTAAGTTGGGGGGAGGCAACATTGTGTCCTTCTTTGCCTTCTGGGTTCACGTTTTTGCCTGTGTGACCTGCAGTATCCGAGATACTGCTGTGGCTCTCAGCAGGGTCTGATCTGCCTCTCAGCTTGTTCCTGGCATAGATCAAAAGGGCGTGCTCCTGGGCTGTCAGGCTGAGGCAGATGTGAGGCAGGTTTGCTCTGGCTTGCCAGTGTGAGAAGACTGGCTCTCATGTAGTACCAGGCCCAGCAGTGCTGCTCCTTGTCCCCATGTACTGAGGAGGAAGGCATCTTCTCTGACCATAGCCAGAGTCCTCAGGGTTGGGAATCTTATCACAGAAGAGATATGTAGAGAAGCGCTGAGCATTTGCAGCTATAATCCATACTCTGGAATGCGATCTCCTGGAAGTATTTATGGGACTCCTGCATGTATCAGGAGACCTCTGCACAAACTATTTTGGGGCTATAATGAGACATGGAGGGCAGAGGAAGTCCTAAGAAGTTTTGGCATCCTATGTGTCCTTCAGCAGCAAAGCATTCGTTAGCCAACTGCTTAATTTGCCAGCTGTAATGCAAAGCAGTCAGGATGCTGGGGAATTAAAGGCATTCCTTTGACCCTGTGCCTCTTTAGGTCCTTGCAACCATCATATTTGCAAGAATATGACCCACTTGGTTAACTAGATGCCACTCATAGCCCTTGCTTTGGCAGTTTTGCAGTAGCAAGTATGAGTGCTGTGTGCTATCGTTGTGCAGCATCCCTGGCATGCTTCTGCTAGCCCAAGGAGATGGGGTGCTGTGGGTTGAGAGGGTGTTGTGGGTGGCAGGGTACTCGGCCATGGACTTTTCTATTTTTTCTGCAGAAAGCAATGACTGGCTGGGTTGCTGGGGCCACCACATGAAATCCCCTGGTTTCAAAGCTATCAGGGAGCACCAAAAGGTAGGGGCTGTTTTTGGCTGATCTCCCTCAGATGCATGGAGAGTGTGTTGGAAGCAATTTGGGTGCCCCTCTCCTCAGGCCCAGGTGTTTGCTGTGTAAGCTGTCCCTGCAGTGTCCCTTCCAGAACTGGGAGAGGAGTCCAAGAGACAGACATAGTTGAATGAGCATCTCTGCTGTGAGGGTGGCTCTTGTCTAGACTGAAGCTGTAGCCAAATTGTTTTTATTTGTGAGCTTCTCTAAATTCATTCATTGCTACTAAAAGGAGTCCTTCTTCTGGCAGGACTGAAGGGTAGGGACAGTGCCCTCACTGCCTGTGCAGTGAAGGGCACGTACCTTACTCTGACGACAGAACAGTCAGGTTTGGTTCATGGCTTGAGAACCTGTGAGGGACCAAAGGTTTGGTATCTGTCACAAGTACATGCCTCTTCTGAAGAGCTGTGATGCTCTAAACTATGCAGTTTGTCCCTGCAAAGCTTCAGGAGTAGGTGGAATCAATTTGGGTGGAATCTTGAGAGGGGTGCAAAGACTGTCACCCTGCACTGTATTCAGAAAGGATGTATCCTCTGCCAAGGGGGCAGGAAGGGGTGGGCAAGGAGTTGGGGAAGCAAAGAGATCTCATAGCATCTATGTTTCTTTCCAGCTAAACCACTTCCCTGGTTCATTTCAAATTGGAAGGAAGGACCGTCTGTGGCGCAACCTGGTGAAGATGCAGGCTCGCTGTGGGAAAAAGGAATTTAATTTCTTCCCTCAATCCTTCATCCTGCCCCAAGACATCAGATTACTCAGGAAAGCATGGGAGGAAGGAGCTAGCCGACAGAAATGGATTGTGAAACCAGTAGGTGTAAAGCAGAACTCAGTCCTCTGTCCTTTTGTAGGTGCAGGGAGAAAATCGGATCCTTTCTTGTTTGTATTTTGCAGCCAGCATCAGCAAGAGGCATTGGTATCCAGGTCATCCACAAATGGAGCCAGCTCCCCAAAAGGAGACCACTGCTAGTACAGAGGTGAGTGAATATAAAACCAAGGTTGGCACACAGCCTGGGACCTCTTAGTGTCTTGTATCTCTGGCCAGTTCTGGGCCCCTACCTCTGTGTGGCAAAGCAAAAGTACCTGATTTGCATCTGGAGACTTCTCTAGAGACTGCCTGGTTGTCCTGCTGCTGGAAGTTTGGCTCTGTCAGCTGCAGCTGGGCTTACTGGAGTGCTGCTGTCTCTGTGTAGATATTTGAGGTCTCAGACACAACTTGGTTTCATGAGCTTTCTGGAGCTTCTGTCTGGCAGGTGGACAGCTTCAGCTGTGCTGTGATCCAGCTCCCACTGCTCTGTACTCTGGGGTTTGGCATGTTTGGAGACAAACCTTATCCAGTTCACCCAAGCACAGTAGGAAGAGAAGTCCCAGGGAAGAGGTGGCAGTTGTCAAAGATTTGTTCTTATCCAAGTTAGAATGGTTCAGTAAGAGCCTCAGTGCATGTAGATGTTAGTCAAAGGATTTTCTTGAAATAACAGAGTTCTCAATCTCCTTTCCCTTCTGCAGAAAAGTGGAATAGTTCATCTTGATTTGAGGTTGCTTTCTGGGAAGATTCTTGTGAGGGCAGGAAAACTGCGGTGTTTGGCAGACAGGGAGCTGTTGTGTTTGCTTGTTAGTTTTCCCTGTCCACTTTCCATGCAAAGAGATAAAATTTCCTATGGAAAATCATGAACTTCTGGGATGAATAATCAAATCATTTGGATTAAAATACCCAACTGTTTCTGCTCACGGTACAAAACCATCTGTGGTGTACTGCATGTCTTAGATGTTCCTGAATATTGCGATCAGCGTTGTAGGTGTGAAAAAGCTACTGTGCCTTAAAACTGGGGAAAGTCTCTTCAAAATGGAACTGAACAGAAAGAAACACTGCTTTTGTGCTGCAGGAACTCTTTGTGAATGGCAGAGCTGCTCTTTCTCCTATTTTGTCTGTGATGTGATTAACTTGGAAATGCTGTGCAAAAAGGCTTCTGCATTGATCCCTTGTTTTGCTTGTGAATTGGGGGTTAGAGATGTTCCTGCATATGAAAATCATAACCCTTATGTGCTTACTTCCTTCTGCAGATACCTGCACAAACCCTACCTCATTGGCGGGAAGAAGTTTGACCTGAGGATCTATGTTTACGTCACTTGCTATGATCCCCTCAGGGTCTACCTGTTCAACGATGGATTGGTTCGCTTTGCTAGCTGCAAGTAAGTTGTGCATGAGAGTGGTACTGGGAGCTACCTAGGTGCCCAGGCATCTGTGGCTGTGGTACCTGCCTTGGCTGGGGCAGGAGAAAGTCATCTGCTCTAAGGGTGATGCTTAAAGCTATATCTTGCTTGCTTAAGAAGCAGTGTGGAAACACACGGGGTCGCTGCAGGTGACTGTTGAAAGGGAATATGTGAGAGGATGCTTCCTACATCCAACCTTCCCAATGAAAGATCAGCTCAGTGTAAAGCAGCTCATGAAATACGTCATCTATGCTATATTCTGCATAAAAGCTGGCACACCAGAAACTGAGATGTTTCTTCTAGTTTTTATTGTATTGCCTCAGGCTGTTGCAGTTCCATCAGTGCTTCTGCTTACTGAAGCTCTAGTTTTTATTTCTTGAGGACATGCTATGAGGGTGGGATTGCATTCCACTGTCCCAAGGCAGTCTGTTCTGTCTCATATTTTGTTCCATTAGCTCTGGGCCTGTGGGAACAGAGAGCTGCCAGCAGCAGGGCTGGTGGATGGCTGAGATGAGAAAAAAGTCTGTGCCTGCCTTGTGGACCTGGGGACAGCCACTTCAGTCTCTGACACCTCGTGTTCCTCTTGCCTCCTCCAGGTATTCCTCCTCAATGGAGAGCCTCAGCAACAAGTTCATGCATTTGACCAACTACAGTGTGAACAAGAAGAACACAGAGTACAAATCCAACTCGGATGAGACTGCTTGTCAGGGACACAAATGGTAGGTACTGCTTTTAGGGTACAAGGTAGATCTCTTTATTTCTCATTAAGTCAGACTCTTTTCAGTATTCTTACCCAAAACTTGAACTTGCTTTTTGTATCATCTACTCCCACTTGGGAAACTGAAAGAACAGAGTGATTTTAGCATGAGTTAGTGTCAGTGGAATCTGGATGGTCTCCCTGGCTAGTAACTCATCTTGTCCACTGCTGCTTGAGCTGTAGATACTGTTCATCCTGTTTGTGTCTGTGCCATTCCGTGCTTCCAATGCTGCACTCATCTATGCTCATTCATCCCCTTCCCCTATTGTGGGGGTGATGGGATGTGGTTAAAGCAGAATCTAATTGGATTTTGTTAGATATTGAATGGGTGATGCTTAAATTGGCTAGATGGGAGCTTCTGCCCATCTCACTCTTGACTTTGCTGTGGAGGCAGAGAAGGGGAGAGCCCTGGTTCAGAACTGCTAATTTATGTGCTACTCAGTGGGAATAGGAGCAGTGGTGCCATTTCTAGGCCTTTGGGAGGAGGGCTGCAATCTTGCAGGAGTTCCCATTCCTTGCTGTTCCATGGGTGGATGGATGCAAGTCCCAGGAACTTGCCTCTGATTCCATGGTGGTGTTTGAACCCTTTTAAAAATAGTGCTGGATAGAGTTCTCAATTCTCAGCCTGGGCAGGGCTACTGCATTTCAAAGGGAGTTACAGAAGGTGTTTTGCTGTGGCCATATTGCTTTGACCTGTACTTGTTGTTGTCTCTTCCTCCACTGGGACTTTTAACAGGGTCTGCTGCCTCTCAGCAGTTGCAATTGCATGGGGGTGAGATTGTGTGGGTTTTCCATACCTGCATGCAAGTCAAAGCTGGCTGCCCCTATGTTAAAGTTAAGTGTGGCTGTAATCCACTCCATCTTGTATGCAGGAAGCATGACCTTTGGATTCCTGGCCATTAGCCACATGGTCTCACTTGAGAAATATCTGAGCATCCTTGGCTCAGTGTCAGAGTAGCTTGCAGCACTCAGTGTGGTGTGGGAAACTCTGTAAAAGCATAGATGCTCCCCCATACCATCTTGTTACCCACACTTTTCAGAAATTTTCTTTCATTCCTCAAGCCTCAGTGAGGTGGCTTTAGCTAGAACATTTTTGGGGTCTTGTTGGATTCCTGCTGAACTGCTTTGCAGTGCTGCGGGGGAAGGCCTCCAGGAAGGAGAGGTTTGCTGAGGACATGGAGGGGGAGGGAAGACAAGATCTGGGCCTGACTTACCTTGCTCATGTGCTAATTTGGGACTGTGCTGAGAGAAGTCTATGACAGATTAATGTTCCTAGTAGCTTGGGCCTTCAAGACCAGGGGCCAGGCTGGGGAGAGCAGCAACTAGGAACTGAGAGGTTTGAGAATGTCAGGAGGATTGCCATGCCAGGGAAGAGTGCTGTCAGGGTTCCCCTCTGTTGCTTTCACCACCAGCAGCAAGGGGCTACAGAGCTACTTCCTTTGCTTTCTCTCTCACAGGGCACTCAAAGCTCTCTGGAATTACCTGACTCAGAAGGGAATTAATAGTGAGGCCATCTGGGAGAAGATAAAGGACATCGTTATCAAAACCATCATTGCGTGAGTCTTGGCACCCCTTGCTCTGTGTGTCTGTGGGGTGCACTCTGGCCCCTTTGATGTCCAGTCCCCTTCTCACCCTGGTCCTTTTGCTCTTAACTGAAATGGTATCACTGCTGTTGGGTTCGATATTTCTCTGCAGATCCCTCCTTTCATCCTGTTACTTATGCTCCTGCTATAGTAGCTGCAGTGGGTAAATAGACCTTATATTTCCCTGCCCTGCCTGAAGGCCAGGAAGGTGCAGTGTACCCAAAATTGCCCAGCTTGCCACCCACTCCCCTGATTTGCCTGGAAGCCTGAGAGAATGGTCCCTGGTGCAGCATAAATCTTGTATTCAGAGGTGGATGCTACCTGACACAGCAGGGATGCTCAGGATGCAGTGCTGGATCCATGTGTGGTAAAGCAGCAGCAACTCACAGGCCTGTGTTGGTCCCTCAGCCCACCTGCTCCCGCAGCACGTGGCTGCATTACACTTCCAGAACTGTCAACATGTGCTGTGAACAGCCAGAGCTCTGCTGTCTGTCTGACTGTTGGAAACATTTTTCTTTCTTGGCTTACAGTTCTGAGCCCTACGTGAACAGCCTGGTGAAGATGTACGTGCGCCGGCCGTATTGTTGCCATGAGCTGTTTGGGTTTGATATCATGCTGGATGAAAACCTCAAGCCCTGGATCTTAGAAGTCAACATTTCCCCAAGGTAAAGCATATTCTGAGCCATAGCAGAGTGGATAATGGCCTTTTTTTACTACAAAGTGAGTTTGGCTTGCGATGTCCCCTGTAGCCTGTGCTGAAAGACTATGGGCTTTGAAGCCTCCCTCTCCAGATTGCAGGAATCAAAGCCCTCCCTGTCTGTGAAAGCAACATTCATCTGCAGCTCAGAAAGCTTTGCTGGGCATGCTCCAGCTAGAGCCAGGGAAGAATATGTTAAAAAAGGAAGGCCAAGGAGAGATGCATCTTGTACAGAATGGGTGATGGCAGAGATTTCTTTGCGTGGGCAGAAGCAATCAGCAGTTCCACTGCCTCGTGCACCATTCTTTGCTTCCTGATGGCATCCGGCCGCCTGGTGTCAGCTGTGCAGGCAGGGCCAGGAGCTGCAGAGTAACTGAGCATGGCCTCTTCTGTCTGTGAGAGTGGGTAGGCATGAGCTGTACACAGAGCCATGTACACAGGGCTCTGGGGATGGATTTGCTTATTTCTAGCTACCTTGGGAAGAGATGGAAAAATTAACTATTTTTGATAGGAAGCCCCCCCTTCAAAGAGATATTGTCAGGATTTTTCTCTCAGTGTTTTATGGCTGGTTTCATGAGGCAAGGGACAGGCTGGTGTTTTTATCCCTGTCAGTAATAACCCAGGGATTGATCTCGGGGCCATGGGGCTCAACACCTCCATTCTAGCACTCAGGCTGTGATTCTTTCTTTCTGCAGCCTCCACTCCAACTCCCCACTGGATGTGAACATCAAGGGCCAGATGATTCGGGACCTCCTCAACCTAGCTGGCTTTGTTCTCCCCAGCATGGACAATATGGCATCAAGGACACAGACAAGAAGTGGCTCTACCTGCAGGTTAGCCCCTTCTCTGTCAGAGGAGCAGGCTTTTTTCTTGAGGGATTTCATCTGGGGGGTTGCTGGGAGCTCAGCAAACTCTGGCTTCTGGCTGTTGACAGCCTGTGCTTGCTGGTGCTTCAGCTATGGGTCCAAAGAACTTGCTTCATTGCCTGAGTATCTGGTTCTTGTGGTCTCTTCAAGGCAGAAGGATTTATGCCCTCTCTGGAGGTCCATAGTTGGAAGTAAGGCCAATGTAATTTGTGCTTGCTCTGCAGTTAGTCAAGTTGTGCTCTCTTGAACTTCCCCTGCCAGAAATAATATGATGGTAAGTTTCACTGCTTGTTTGCTTGGAGGACTGGCTGGCTCTGTTGGGGCTGAATCCACTTATCTTCTGACTTACCAGAACTGACATGCTGCTGCCTGGAGCAAGAGGAGCACCTGCTATTTTGCAAATGCTGGAGTGATCAGTTCTTTAGGCAGGACTGCAGGTGTCACATGTTGCCAACCTATGGGTGGAGGTGTGCACAGTCTTACTTTGCAGCTAACATGGCTGCTTTTGCAGAATGCTAATTCCTGGGTGTGTATCCAGCCAGGCTTTTAATCCTTCTTAGTTTTTCACTACAGCTAGGGCTTATCCTGGTTTCAAACCTGATGGCTGGAAGGAAACCAGTCTGTTCCCTGCAGCAGAGTGGCTGCTGGCCATATGTCACTGAAGGGTCAGCTTGCTGGGTTAAGCACCAGCATGCAGTGATGTGTGGGCATGCCAAAAGATGGGACTCTTGCCTTCTGAGTGCCCTGTGGCTTCAGTGGAGAAGCTCGGAACATGGGCCTGTTCCAGATGGGGAGCTCTCACCAGCTCGTCTGCGGTGCTTTGATCACATGCTGGTTTGCCACTTCCAGTGGAAGTGCTGAAGGGCAGGTGTCCTCAGAAAGACCTGCAGGGGATTAAGTAGATCCTTAACATGGTTCAGATGATGCATTACCAGATTTCTTGCACCCAGAGGCGATCTTGTTCAACTATATTTCCTGCCCTGGGAAGCATATGAAGGTGTTTTTGCATATGGGCAGAATTCCAGTAGATCTATATGTTCCCTAAGCACCATGCAGCACAGACTCAAGGTTCTGCTTTCCCTGTTTGGATCTGCACAGAACTAGTAAGTTTTGCAGCAGCAGAAAAAAAAAAACCAAACCAAAAACTATGTTCATAGATGGGTTAAAAGGTTTTCAACAAGTATCTCCCAGATTCTGGCATTCCCATTGGCGCTTAGAATAGATGGTTGCTGGTCAGATAGTACGAAAGGCCAGGACCTTCCATGGCATATGTCTGAATTTGAGTCCTGAGAGTACTTGGATATTGCCAGAGGAAGTTTTTAATCTAAGAGTTCTCTTCTTCCTTTTACAGTACCAATACTGAGTACCTGTACCCCCATCCCTGTGCTTGCAGTTAGGAAGCTTCCAAGTAGGATGAGATCCCACCAGGCTTCATGTGCTATGTATCACATCATAGTGTGTCTGACCCTCTTGCATGCCATGTGAGTGTGAGATGATGGCTCGCCTTTTGGGTGAAGGAACACTGAAATGCCTTAGTGAGGGGCTAGCAGAGTCCTCCTAGTTTCCCTGCCCATATTCTTCCCAGGTTCTGTGCTGATGCACAAGGATCCATCATTGATCTCAGAACTAGTGAAATCCTTGGAGAAAGTGTTCTCTCCTCCATGTCATTTTCATGAGGGTGTCATTACTCTTTCAGAAGTTGCTGGGAGCAGCTTTGCCGTGACAGGACTTCGTTTTCTCCACTTAATTGCTCTATTGTTTCTCTTGTGTCCTCAGTGTGGGCAGTGCTTTGAAGGAGAAGCCCAAGCCAGCATCTGAGCATTTGAGAGCAGAGAAGATGAAGAAGGCCTATTACCTGATGCAGAAGATACCTGACCAAGTACTGATCAACCTCTTCTGTTTTTTACACCATCATGCCAAGCCCATGTCCCAGCCAGTCCTTGACACGTCTGTCCCTCTTACCTATTCAGATTGTCCTCTTCTCTGGGGTCAGCCAGATGATGGGGTGCACTTGGGCTCCAGTGGGTTACAAGACAATTGGTCAGAAATAGATTTGGTTTGCTTAAGCCACTGACTCATCTGTACATTAAAATAGGCGGGTGCTGAGGGACACATTACCCACCAGTCCCCAGAGTGTGAGCACTGCCTGTTCCCTCTTACGTCTCTATGCAGCTCTTACAGCCTTTGCCAGCTGACCTCTGTGCAGGTTAGTAGGACCACTGGCCTTGTGTGCCACCTGGCAGTGTATTTAAGAGAGGCTAGGCTGCAGAATTGGTGTTCTCTTCAGTTCTGTGCAGTGTTGGTGTCACCATTGAGCCTAGATTCCTTCCACAGTTTCCATGTGGCTTTTGTCCCAAAGATCTCAGACACATGGAAACCTCTGTTTGAGACATGCTTCTCCCTGACCTTGGGTTGCTCTTGTCTGCAGGATTTTTATTCTTCTGTCTTGGACATCCTGACTCCTGATGATGTTCGCATCCTGGTGGAGACAGAGGATGAGTATTCCCGACGCGGGCAGTTTGAGCGGGTGTTCCCCAGCCACATCTCCATGCGGTACCTGCGCTTCTTCGAGCAGCCTCGTTACTTTAACATTCTGGTGACCCAGTGGGAGCTCAAATACTACTTGAATAGACACAAAGGTAACTGCCCTCCGAAGCCTGGCACAGCCACCTGACTCAGGCAGGCTGCCTGCCAGGAGTCGTGGGAGACTTCTGAGCTATGCATGTTGAGGAGGAGCTGCCTGCATGCATACTAACCCCTAGGAAATGTGTTACCTTCCCAGACTGTTTCAAATATCACAAAAAGCTATTCTGACTTGATGAGAGGTGATGATTGTTCTGGTACTCACAGCACCATCACTTCTAAGTGCTCTGGGCATGAGGCAGACTGCGATTTTGCCTTCAGGCTGTAGCTTTGGCCTCTTACAGTGTTTCTCTGCTCTCTTTTGTGGGAGAAACAGCTGGATTTGCTAGGCTTTGCTCCTGACTAGTGATCTGTGAAGGAAAATTTTCGCCTATTCCTTGGTCTCCTGCAGCTTTCTAATTGATGAAAAACAGTCAGCATACAAATGGAAATTTTTCTTAAACACTAAAAATCTAGCTAACATTTCCATCCTTTCAGGACACAATTCTGTATTTTAATAAAAAAGATTATCTTTACTGAGGCGTAGCTGGGCTGGACCAATTCCTCCTCATCCAAGGTTGTCTCTATCAGGGCAGCAGTATTTGGGAGAGAGAGACAGTGAGGTCTAGCATGAAGGGTTAAAGAAAATAAAAAGAGACTGTGGGTTAGGGATTTCCATCCAATATCTGATCTATATGGAGATGCTTCTGGAGAAGCTGGCCCTCCACTGCAGTGACTGTATGTGTGCTCCTCACCTGGCTGTCAAGGAGAGAAAGAAGCAAAATGCTTTTGTCACTTTTCACTAGAGTTAAAGCTAGTATCAAAGGGGTCAGTAACAATATTTCACAGCGAGATGGTAACATCATAGCCTTCTCTGGCTGTGTTGTCAGCATGTGTCATCCTTTGCCTTGCTAATATCTTTGCTGGATGATCTTCTGTCAGCTGGAAGAAAGATACTGTCATCGTCCTCAGTGAAGTGCTGCCCTGAACTTTGCTCAGACAAGGGTCCTGGTTCAATGCTATAGCTTTCCCAAAGAAGCCAAGCGAGCAGATTTGCTCTATTCCCAACATTGCTCTTTACCTCTGAACAAAACTCACCCTCCCCCTATCCCCTTCCCATTCCCCTGTGTTCCATGCAGCACTCCTCTTTCCCTAGCCACTAAGATGCAAAGCCCAGGCTGGTACACAGACCCAGGACAACGCATCTGAGCCACCCTGCTCCTCTTGATCCCCAACATGTGGGGTTTTTTTCACAGGGTTCTGGGACTTGCTGAAAGGTCACTAAGGAACAGGCTTTGGATGGCAAGGATTCCTCCTGATATCTTTTAGAAAATCACAGTAATCCTAGCTGGAGAGCATCCATGGTCTAGCCATTGCTCTGCTGGTTCTTAATTCTCAAATCACCCTAGCCTTCTGCTATGACCCTAAGGCTCTTAAATAAGAAAACAGGATGAGAGTAGTCCTGGATTTCTCAATATTTCTGGGTCGGTCAGTGTGCTTGGCTGTAGTGGGGACAGCTAGCAAGAAGCCCTGGAGGAAGCGGAGCCTGAACTGTGTTCAGTGCAAAACACATAGCTGTGCTTCAAAATGACCTTGCTGTGCTCTGAAGCACCATATCTTATGTGTGGTGAGAGGATTGGTCCTTTCCAGTCATACCAGCAGTGATCTTCGCCTGTGCCAGTCTTGCTCTCTGTCAGGGAGGAACCCTGACATGTTGAGCTCTGGATGGATCCCTGCAGGGAAGAGATGATGCACTGGGATGCTGTAGCTGATTCAGTGCTGTGCAAGGAGGAGGTTGCCTGAGCTGCCCTCCTCTGGGAAAGGGGTCGATGACAGCAAAGCTGCTCTACATTTGCATGGTGGGAACTTTCACCAGTGCAGCCCAAATCAGGTACTGCTGTTGGCAGGCACTGGGCTCAGGGGGACAGCCAATCTGGTCTAATTCGGCAAATCCTGTGTTGCCCCAGTTTCCCTGTTCCGCTGAGCCTGCTGCAAGGAATGTCTTGGCTCCCTGGGAGGAAGGCAAGCAGTGCAGCAGCCCACGCACTGATGTTTGCTCGTACAAAGGGTGAACGCCCTTGGTTTACCCCGTATTTGCTGGCACTCAAGCACGTGTTCAAGTTGTTATTGCATAGCATGTGCTATGTGGTCAGTGCAGCATATTTGCATGCCCTGAGCTGGGAAGGCTTAACTCTTTGTAAACCTGGCTGTTCATTCTCACTTACTGTCTTCTGTCACTTCCCAGGTCTGGAGCTACTGAAGAACTGGTGTGTCAAAGGTTACCACACTGGGGCAGGGACAGATTTGGCCCAGATGGTACGTATAACTGTGGGTAAGGTAGACAGAGATGGTTGTTTACCATCCTACCAGTTGGGTAGAGATCCTGCTTTTCTGCTTGCTCTGGCTCCTGTCTTACCTGTTTGCCTTCTTCCCTCTTTGCCAAGGCCTCCAGGAGTCTGGAAAAACCCATGCTGCCCTATTTCCCACAAACATGAAGCCATGAGCAGTATATCAGATCTGCAAGTATTTTGCATCTGAATATCCTTGGGTGCACTGGGCACAGCCCTGCATATTTGGCACCTGTCCTGCCCATTGTTCCTCTCCGTGAGGGAGTTGTCTCTTTCACTCCTGTGCCTTATAGCAGAACGTTACTCTGAAAGAAACCCACTCTTTTGAACCTTGAGGTGCTCTACTCCCACTTTCAGCAGAGGGATTCATTAGGCAGAGAGCAAAGATTGCTCTGTTTGCTATTCTGGGAACAGTCTGGTGGCAGTGACAATGCACAGCAGTGAGGCAGCTCTAGCTGAAGCTCTCTAGGGCAGCCTATGGCAAAGCACAGCAGACTTGAGGGATTTTTGCCACGACTTAAATAGCCATTCTGTTGTCTTCCTCTCCTCCCACAGTGGTCATTGCCAAAGTCGTTCTTCCTCCAGAAGAGTAGCATTCAATCAAATGGCTTCAGCAAACTGGAACTGGGCAGACTGGGGTAAGTTTGCACTGGCCATAACATTCATGGTGTTCATAGTGTGACTTTTGGACTGGTATCCTGGTAGAAAACTGGAAGCCTGAAAAGCAGCTTTACTTAAGGGGAGAGGAGCAGATTGGTTTGCAGGCTCTGAAGCCTCTGCTCTGTGGAGAACCAACAGATGGGGCTGGCATGATATCTGTGCAACTGGGCATGTCTCCTTGGCACTGTACACCCAGCTTAGAATGAAGCTCAGAACAGCCAGATTAGGTGATGCTTGGAGCTGTCATGGTGAGAACATGCTGACAAGATATTCCGTGCATTGGAACTTGTATCACTTCTGTGGACACTGATGTGGTTAACAGTGAGCAGAGGCTCTCAGCTGAAGCGTTGGCCAGGGGAACCGTGAGGCCTTCAGGTCTCTTGTACTCTCCTGGCTTCCCTGAGCAAAGCTGGGCTGCTGACAGCTTCCTACAGAGGTGGAGGACTGGAGTTTGGGTAACCCAAAATGAAGGGGAGGCACACCCCTGGTCTCTGGTTCTATGAGAAAGGTCATCAATGTTCCTGTGCTGAGGCCAGGGTGGAGTTGGGTTTACACACAGATAGGGAGGCTAAGCTGTGACCCTGATGTCCCACTTATACTGGGATACCTGTTGAGATCAGTGGTGCTGCCTGGGATGGGAGATGGAGTAGGTGAGCCTGGCAGCCCTATCTCTGAGTCCATGTGTCACGATACAGCAGGTGATTATTGCATCATGGTTCTTTTCATCCTTTCTTACTGTCTGTAAGAAGCTCAGGGTCTCCTTTTTGTTGCAGCACATGCCTCCCTTCAGCTGGTGAGGATCTCACGAGATGCCTGGAGCCCAGCCCTACTCAGAACTTACCTCTCAACAAGTGCACTGGTGGAGCCAACCAGACACCTGCTGGCTGCCTCTCTGACACTGCCCTGGTGATGTGACCAAGCAGCCACTGTCCCTCCCTGGGGACACATCAACCTACCTCAAAGGAAGAGACAGGAGCTGGCTCTGTAGATCAACGACTGTGGGAGCCCCTTGCACTACACACTTGTTTTGGGGTTGGTTATAGAGATGGATATTTTCCTGGGCAAAGAGGAGACCTGTGTGACTTCATTTCTAAAACAAGTGGCAAAGCCTGAGGAAGTGGGGGTTATTTGGCCTTTGTCCTGGACTGTTCTTAAAGCCTGACATAGTGGTTTCTTTCCTGCGTGGGAGCTGACTGAGCCTGCCCTTCTTGTCCCCAGTCATCACAGGCTGAGCCCTTGCTTGCCTGTGTCTGTGTCCTGAGTTGCTGGCAGCTGAGTCTGCTCTTGTCCTGCTGCAGCCTGGCCCTTGGAGATAAGTCCCCAGTCCTCACGCCTGGGAGGGAAAACTGCCCAGTTTTATCCTTTCTGATTGTGCCAGCATCCTGCCCGCCCCCAGCAACAGGCCCTGCAGGACACCTCAGGGTTGCACATGGCAGTTCAGGAGAGACCACAAGTACCAGTGTGGCTCCAGTTTGTTGTGGGGGTAATAGGGCTGCTGGGGAGGGAGCATCCTTCTCAAGGCCATTGGCTCTCTGGTGTGCCCTGCAGCATGTGTGCACGGACTGCAGCTAGTGCTCTTCTTCTGGGTCTGCTATTTTCCCTTTGTTTCTCAAGGATTTCTATTAAACTTTAACACTCAACTGCTTTCCTTGTTCTCATCTGCCTTCCTCGACCTCTTTGTGTTGGTGGGAAGTTCACCCCTTCCCATGTTTCACTGGGGTCTGGTACAGGGAGAGTGTGTGCTACCCACCCCACTTTTCCCTGTCCTTCCCAGCGCTGGGGGTAATTCTTGCTGCTCTATGGTAGGTAAACATACCCCCCTGAATAGAAGAACAGCTTCCAGCATAACTGCCTTGATCTGGGGTCTTCCTTATGTCTTAGGGACTATCCCGTGCATCATTAACCAAGGGGAACAGTGCAGTCCAGCCTTACAAGAGGGGTAGGAAGGTTTGGGTGCCCAGAGCTGGCTCTTGCTGTTTCAGGGTTCTGTCCCTCCAGTATGGTAGGTAAATGCTGGATGCCTGGGCAGGTAAATGCTGGATGCTTGGGCAGGTTCTTGGGGCCCAGAGGAGGTGCTGATGTATGGGCCCTGGGTCTGGTAGAAAGCCCTTCCCTCCCCTCTCCTTGCAGCCCACCATTTCCCAGTGCTGGGCCCTGTTTCTCTGGTCTCCTTGGTGACAATCTCATCTCTCCTCGGCTTCTCTCCAGCACCTGAAAATAGCCTCCGAAAGTGGAGATGCCTGCTCCCTTCCCTGCTGCCAGCACCCGCGATGGCCAAGCTGGAGCCAGGCTGTTCTGCACAGCACAGCTGTAAGGGCCTGGCCTCATGGGCCCCTGCTCCACTGCAAGATTTGGGCCACCCTGTGAGCCAGCACCAAGGCCCTGGCTTCATCTCTCCTCGTCCTGCCTGGCAGCACCAGGAAACTCCTTGAATCCCACCATGGGCCAGTATCCAGCTGTCCCCTGCATCCACAGAGCCCTGTCCCTTTAGCCCTGTCGCCACCAACCCTGTAGCTCACCCGCAGCTGCGCCAGGCCAGCCTGACAGCCTCCCAGAAATAGAAAACTGAGCCGCGAGCAGGCAGAGGGCGAGCAGGAGGGGGTGGCCCCGCGGCAAGGAAGGAGGTTGCCCCACAGGTCCGCCTGCCCCCGCCGTGGGACCAGGGTCACCGCGGACAGTGAGCTGCAGCAGGACCCCGGGCAGGGACAGGCAGGGCTGGACAGCGTCGAGGACAAAGGATCCGCATCCACCCCTCCATGGCTGGACGCAGCCGTTCTCCAGCATCGCCGTGGAGAGGGGAACGCTGTGCTCCCCACCTGCGACGAAGAGGAACAGCACCGGGCAGGCTGGACAGAGCGCCGTTCCTGGAGGAAGGACGGGGGTCCACGGAGCAGGGTCTCCCTCCGTTCTCTGCCCACAGCCATCCCTCCACCGCCCCCTCCCTCGGGTCCCCAGGGTCAGCGCCAGGGTCCCCGGGGCCGCGACCGCCTACTTCAGCCCGGGGCTGCCGGGTGGCTGCGAGCGCTGCTCGGTGGTGTCGGCCGTGTCCCCCCCCCGCGGCGGTGGCGGTGGGGGCATGGCTGGCATTGCTCGCTGACACTCTATCTGCCAGGGCCACGCCAGCCGCGGGCCCAGAATAGCAGCGCTGCCCTGCAGATAGCATGGAGCGGCTCCGTGGCCCCGCAGCGTCCCAGGTACTGTCCGGCTGGGTGGGGAGTGCGGCCTGACAGACCCCTGCTTGGGGACAGGCCACCCCGGGGGTGGGAGAAGGTGGGCGGCTGACAAGCCCCTTCCCATGGACATGCAGCCGTGGGGACAAGGACGTCCTTGTCCAGCTGTGCCAAGCCCCTTGGGAATGGTTGGGGCAGGTGGTGCAGGGTCTCTTCCTTCTCGCTGTTGGCCCTAGGCTCCTTAAGGAGTGGTCCCTATCCCTGTGCCTTCGTTATTGTAGGGTGGCCTGTAAACTTTGGCTCTGTCAGGCAGGTTTGTGGCCGGGGTAGCTCTTCTCTCTGCACGTGCTGCTGTGTTATTGTAGGGTCCTCTGGGGACTGGAGTAACGGGGTCAGCTGTCCCGCCCTGTGGACTCCCTTCTTCCTCCGGCTGCCGCTTTGCTAATGTAGGTTTCCTGGGATGGACTTAGTCCCCGGGTTGGCGAAGCTCTCGGCATGGGAAGAAGCAAGAATGGAATTTACATCTTGGGACTGGGAGAGGATGGGCGCAGAACAGCTGTGGGACATGCTCTGCTCCAACAGCAGAGAGCGAAGGCAGGAGGTCCTGCCATCCATGTCTTGACCTGCTCTGGAGACCTCTGCCGTCTCTCCAGAGCAGAAGGACAAGCTGGGTGTCCTGGACTGGAGCCACCATGGAGACTGCAGGCTCTGGGGGTCTTGGGCTGGTGGGGGCTGCCCACATCCCCACCCTGAAAGGACAGTTCTCTCTGCCTGGCTTGGGTGAGCCAGAGCATCTGGATGGGTGCAGGCACAATCCATGGATGAGGAAAAGACTGGGTTGACTCCTGCTGACCCCTCCTCACTGTGTTGCCCTCTCAGGTGGCGCTGCTGGATGCTGTTGCGTGCCCTGAGGAGGAAGGTGGGTAGCAGGAAGAGTCTAGGTGTGTCTGAGGGGGGACTGCCTTACTTGTGTGACAATTGCATTCCTCCTCTGCCCACCCCGCCCATACCCCTCAGCTGGAGTCCACCCCAGGCTGGAGAACTGCAGTGCCATGTGCTGCCCCTGTGGAATGAGGAACAGGGGGGCTCTGTCAGGAGCATCCCCTGCTCCCCCCAGGCAGGAAGATGGTGAGACAGCAGCTCAGCTCACTAGCTAGGGCTGGGGTGATTTTGCCCTGCAGGATTTCCGAAGGCTGTATGCCCCAGGGAGGAGGAAGAGGAGGAGGAAGAATACAGGAGACCTGTGACCTTTACACTGGGAAATGAGATACTGGGGTTGGGCCCAGAGACTGAGTTTCAGAACCCTGATGCTGAGGTCTATATGCACTTCTTGAGGAGCCACTGCTGTTACGATGCCATCCCCACCAGCTGCAAGCTCGTTGTCTTTGACGTCTCCCTGGAGGTGATAACCTGGGGGATGAATGGGGATGGGCAGTGAAGAAGCAGGCTTGGGGATCCTCTGAACCCTTCTGCTCTCTGCCAGCAGATCAAGAAAGCCTTTTTGGCGCTGGTGGCCAACGGGGTGCGTGCTGCCCCTCTCTGGGACAGCAAGACGCAAAGCTTTGTAGGTGAGTGCCAGAAGCAATGCCTGGTCCCCTCCCCTGCCTGGCAGGGTACAGGCAGCGTTGCCAGCCCCACGTATCTCCACAGGGATGCTCACTATCACCGACTTCATCAACATCCTCCACCGCTACTACCGCTCACCTTTGGTGAGTGCTGTGAGGAGGGCTTGGGGCAGGGAGCGGCTGTCCCCACCACTCCTGGTCCTTCTTAATCACTAGACAATGACCAGGGGATGATTCTGGGCCAGACCAGTATCCACTTGCTACTCCCCTGCTTAGTTCCCAAAATACAATCTCTGTGCTTGGATGATGGGGGGTGGTGTCTCAGAGTGCCCTCAGTCCCCCATGCAACCACCGTGACCAGGGCATTTCCCTGCCTTCAGGTTCAGATCTACGAGGTGGAGGAGCACAAGATTGAGACCTGGAGAGGTAAAAATCCTGTGGGTGGCTGGGCTGATGTTGTCACAGAGGTTGTGGAGGTGGGCTCTGGGATCGTGGGGTTGCTGGAGAGGGCTGGAGGACCTCCTCTCATAGCTCTCTTCCTTGGCAGAGGTGTACCTGCAGGGCTCCCTCAAGCCACTAGTCCACATCTCTCCGAGCAATAGGTGAGAGCCTGTCCCCTGGGGGAGAGCATACCCTTTGGAGTGGGGGTGTGTGTGGGAACACAGCCCTATCCCACCACGATGTCCGCATCACCCACAGCCTCTTCGATGCTGTCTACTCCCTGATCAAGCACAAAATCCACCGCCTGCCTGTCATTGAGCCTGTCTCGGGCAATGTCCTGCACATCCTGACGCACAAGCGCATCCTCAAGTTTCTCCACATCTTTGTGAGTGCTGGGGCTGCTTGTGCACACTCATGGCTGGTGTGTAGGGGCACAGACAGGGTGTCAAGGTACATGCAGGTGCCAGCCCAGCCCTGCCCTGTCCCATTGAAGGGTTCTACCATCCCCAAGCCACGCTTCCTGAAGAAAACAGTGCAGGAACTGTGCATTGGCACCTTCCGTGATCTGGCTGTCGTGCCTGAGACTGCCCCAATCTACACTGCCTTGGACATTTTTGTGGAACGCCGTGTCTCTGCCTTGCCTGTCATCAATGATTCTGGTACCAGGGGAGGGAAAAAGTGATGTCCTCATCTCCCTCTGCTTCAGCATCATCCCTACCCAAAATCCCTGTCCTTCCTCTTGGGCTGCCCCTTGGGGTGTGGGAGGAACATGGCGGGTGGTCCCCAGGGCTCCTTCTGCAGCCCTTCACCGTTTCTCTTTGCAGGGCAAGTGGTTGGCCTGTACTCGCGGTTTGATGTCATTGTGAGTACCCTGCGTGTGTGCATGCCCAGGCTCAGGTTTGGTCCCTTGAATGCACTGGCGGGGTGCTCATACCTGTCTGTGCCCATGCAAACCCACCCCACATTGAGTGTCATGCATGTGCCAGTGCAGGTCTGCTCTGTGCATCTCCTGGGCTTAGTGTCCCTTCTGTATTGGCACAATGGGGTGCAAGGACACCTTGGGGCGCTGAATGGGGGTCACATCTGTCACAGCACCTGGCAGCCCAGAAGACCTACAACAACCTGGACATCAGTGTGAGGGAGGCACTGCAGCAACGCAGTATCTGTCTGGAGGGGGTCCTCACCTGCTACCCCCATGAACCTATGGAGGACATAATTGACCGCATTGCCAAGGAGCAGGTGAGTGGCCGGGGTGCCTTGTGCCAGCCACTGCTGCCAGCTGCCCAGCCTGCCTGTGATGCTCTGCCTGCACCCACAGGTCCATCGCCTGGTTCTGGTGGATGAGAACCGGTACCCGCGGGGCATCGTCTCCCTCTCTGACATCCTGCAGGCCCTTGTGCTTACTCCTGCAGGTATCGATGCTCTTAACTCTTAGCCTACGGTGCTCCATTTTCTCCACTTGCACCCT